ACAGCATATACACATGTATAAGTGTCTGAACAAAATAATGTTATTGTTTAGACAGAGCACATTAAATACACTCTTCTCTCTCTCTCCTCTCTTTCTCTCAATTTTGATTATGAATGAAAGTTCTTGATAAGATGAGTGGTGTTAGAGCTCTAAGGTAACCTATGTTTGTCGACACAGCAGCATTCAGTCTGGATGTCACCAAGATTACTTAAATTATGTAAATGATGTCTCCCAATACACATATAAACCACAAATCTATTTAATATGCAGCATATGTCCTGTATCTCAGTCAAAAGGGTGAAACAGTGCAAATACAGAACAGATGTAAACTTTAATAAAACAATCTGCCGATCCATAAGGAGTTTTTTGTTGTGGGAGTTACAGATACTTGTGAGTGTCAGATTAAGGTTTCTTGTGTCTGAGAGTCAGGAATTATAATTTATTAGGTTTCTCTGTGACCAATATTTCATTGCAATGCAGATACACACCATCTGGATCAAATGTAGCATAAAATTCTGGTATACCACTGAGAGCTTTAGTAGCTCACAAAGTGGAAAATATCCCACCAACCATGAAATATCAAACATTTGCATCTTTTTGATAAACCACACTGATCACAAGCAAGTCAGCAATTTTTTTTGGAAACTTCCATGACCCAAATGTAAACCAAAGGGAAATTAATTTAACAAAATTTATTCAAATGACTTTACAAATCTTACAAAAGTGCAACATGGTATACATAGATATGATGCATACACATGCCATTGTATATGCATCAGCTGATTGAAAAAATATCAACATCTGTTCTAAAGAAATACTTGAAGTCTAGCATAGAATAATCACAAATACAATGCCATGCACTTAATTAGTTGCATAGAATTTTCTGCTTGACATTCACTCGGTGGTGCATTCCTAACCTGGCTGTATGGCATGCTGGTTTGACAGCATGGCAGAGCAAACAATGTGTAATTTGTAACAGAAGGAGACTTAATTTTTCAATTATTGAAGAGAATGTGGGTCAAATTCCCAAAGATGTGTCTATGTTTCACGCAATGTTGGCAATCATACTCATCTGCCTTAACCTATTTTAATTCACAATAGGAAATTATATTTGAGATTTCAAGCATGGCAAGTCAAGTTGTAATTGATGCACACCCAATTATATAACTTTAAAGATGTTAAATTGATAAGTAAAAGGCCAACATGAAGATGACATACTTATGCATGCCAAACTCTTAAAAATTACGTACAAATCATAAGCATATAAGGATTTAAAGAGTATAATTGGTAATTAACCTCTTTACATAATTTGTATTCCAAGTAATCTAGCCTGGTCAAGTTCAACCTAATATGTGGTAAATAACTTTCATATATTCTTTTAAATTATTTTGAAATTTTTTTCTCTGTGGTATTGAGGTTCTGACACACGTGATTCAATGTGAAAATACACTCACCTTATTATTATGTAGAGCTTCTGCAGAATGCGCATCCTTTGCACCAAAACAAGCCTGGCATTTCAGTTTGTTAAATATGTTGGGTTCGAACTTGCGACACTTCGAAGCCATGTTTGTTTACGTTTTCGAAAACGATCTTGCACACCTGATCAAACGACCAGGTGAGAAATTACACTGACCCCAAACTAAGACCCACTTTGTATATAATCCAACATATCAGCATATTAAAAGTTCAAATACAACCTACATATCCACAACATCACCTCACGTATACTTTTTTGGCTTCTTTCCGACCCCGATCTATCGCCGGTGTCAGATAAGGTGCACGCGGAGTAATATGTTACACGACGAACGCGGAGGGATTTACGTGTTACGGTATAGAAGAAATAGGCCAGATTGATCCCTGCCTCGTGGGTGGCAAAAATGCTACTATTTTATTCCTTAAGAAATTAATTATTTTGTTATATCGAATATTGCATAATTAATTGCTTGTTTAATTTATAAAGTAAGAAGATTACACAAAGATAATTAAGTCTAGAATATTATAGCTTCTGCTGTAGATTTTCCCCCCAAATTTAATATATTTTATAGGGCTAAAAACGTCTTTGATATCCTGGCCAAACATATTATTTAAAAAGAAATTGCCTATTTTAGGTGGATGTGTGTTTTCTTGTATCTAGTCGATGCGTGAGCTGGTTTATGGACCCCCCCCCCCTTTTCAAATCGTAAGAAACTTTTTTAGGATTAAACATTTTCCCCAATAAAAAAAATTGAAAGTCGGGTTCAAAATATCCTGCTCATTTTTCTAAGGTAACACTAATGTTGAATATTTATGAATAAATATTTTCTTTATTGAAATACTTGCATAAGCATTTATATTTCTTTTCTTTTCTGCATAAGCATGATGAGATTGAGAATTATAACTATAAGTTGAATGACCAATTAGGCATAGAGCCAAATGGGTCTGCAGATACAAATTCTTAGAGGATTTTAATGATACGCGGTAAACTTATGATTATCAATCGCAGGATTTTTTTCAATCTTTTTCGTCTAAGTAATTATTAAAAGTTTCTTCCATTTATTGCAACTTATAAGACCCTTCACTTTGAATAATTAAGCATCAGTTTTACTAAAGTTATGCTAACCACAAATTTTAATAAATCTTTAAAAAGGCTTAAATATATTTCATCTAAATTACAAAAAAAAAACGATGCAGTCTGTCCTCCATATTTTCTATGTCATCGATCACTTCTTTCCGTTTTCAAGTGCGTGTTTGTTTCTCTGTTTTGTACACAATGACCATGTATATATATGTTTTTCTTCTCTGTTTTGTTCACAATGATCATGTATGTTTTTTTTATTTATGAAATTGATAAAATATATCCTATTTCATAGGCGTCGGAAGCAAATTGAAAGTGGGGGGCTAATTGAAAGGGGGGGGGGGGCTAAACCAACAAAAATTTAAGGTAAACCCCGATTTTCAATGTGTATATAATATAATGTATATATTTGCAAAAAGTGTGCATGGGGGGGGGGGGCTAAGCCCCCTAGCCACTCCCCGGTTCCGACGCCTATGTATTTATTGTCCCCCGCTTTCGCTTTCTGTCAGTCGGTCAGTCTGTGTCCGTCCGTCACAAAAAACTTTTACCTTGACCATATCTTTTGAATAAAAAGACACAGGGTTTTCATATTACAGATGTACATTACCTTTGACAAGACCTTTCTAAAGACACTTTGATTTGTGACCTTGATCTTGAAGTTTGACCTACTTTTAAAAAAATTGAATATTACTTTTAATTGGCCATAATTTTGAATGAGAAAAGATAGGGCTGTCATATCAAAAATGTATACTACCTGTGACAAAACCTTTCTAAATACACATGTACATTTGATTTTTCGACCTCAAGACCTTGAATGTTGAATTATTTTTAAAAACTTTAACCTTGGTTTTGAATGAGTAGAAATAGGACTTTCGTATAAAACCTGTGTAATGCCTGCGACAAGACCTTTCTACATACACTATGATTTTTAACCCTGTGACCTTAAAGTTGACCCACTTTTCAAAAAAATTAAACATTAGTTAAAATTGACAATACTTTTTGAATAAGAAGAGATAACGTTAAGGGTCATATTAAACAAGTATGTTAAATTATCTGTGAAGTTACCTTTCTAAATACATGAAATTGACCTCGTGACCTTCTTTTCAAAAATGTTAATTTTTCCATATATCTTTTGATTGAGAAGAGATAGGGCTTTCATATTTGACATGTACATCATTTGTGACAAGATATTTCCAAGCATGCTATGATTTTTACCCGTTGACCTTCACGATTGACCTAATTAAAAAAAATCAAAATTGGTGATAACTTCTGAATGACTTGTGATAGGGCTTTCATATTTGACATAAAATGCCATGAAAAATGACATCTCACCCACAAAGACACCGAAAGCGGGGGGGGGGGGGGGCACAATTATTTGAATTTGCTTGTTTATTTTTTTTCACAATTTTTCTAAGACAACTTAATTAATCAAGTTATATACAGCACTTCAATTGTGTGCAATTGATTTTGATGTACATTGTTAGTGTAATAAATTATAACGGATACATTTGTATAATAATTGAACTTAACATTTTAATGATATTTTCCAGCTGTCATTAATTTTTGTTGATCGTGTACATGTTGCACCATTATATTTTAGATAACGTTATATGTATTTGATAGAAAACAAACTTTTGGTTGACAAGTTATTCCTTTTTAATATGAAACTTGCACAACTTTCATCTATGATACGAAGTATTGATTTTTTTTTTTTACAATATAAATTCCAAAATATATATGTTTAAAAAAAATGTTTTTTTTTTGTTTTTTTGTCCGTTGTTTTTTGTTGTCGTTGTTGTCGTGTTTTTCACATTTTCATCTTCTTCTCAAGTTCAGATTCCTTTGACATGACAAATAAAGTTACGTTATTTAGAAAAATTAATGAATTTTTTTTAAAATGGGGCCAGGAAAGATGAAACTCATGTGGAATCATCAGCGGGTACATTCAGGTTTGTTCAAATCATGATAGGTGAGGTTTTACATAGGTATATAGATTTAAAAAATCTTCTTCTCAAGGATGGGCCAGGAAAGATGAAACTCATGTGGGATCATCCAATTTTATTTGAAACTTTTTACAACTATATATCTTTAAAAATCTTCTTCTCATACCACTGAAGCATTGAATTTTTTTTCAAGTTTGTTCAATATCATGACCCCCGGGGGTAGGGTCCAAAATGGCAGCAAAAAATTATACCTTTTAAAATCTTCTTTTCAAGTACTTCAAAGCCAGGCTTCGTTATATTTATAGCAATCTCTCTAGTTAGATTCAAGTTTGTTCAAATCATGAAGGGAATAAAAACGCCCCCCCCCCCCGACTTGCAAGCAATTGCTCAATGTGGCCCCTGGACCTCTTGTTTTTGGTAACTTTCTTTGTTTTTAAACTTAAAAACACTTGCAAAATGTTAGTAAGAAAAAAAAACACATAATAAAGATCGGGCTCGGTATTCAGTAATCTATTTGCGTCGTTGGGAAGATGGCAAAGGTAGAAGAAAGTTCCAAAAATTTTAGTCTAAAGGAGTATCCATTTCCAACAGAAGAAATTCCAAGACTTAGCATCAACAACCCAGAAACAGACAGACGGATTGCTGCTGGGGTAATTTTTAAATTAGATGTAATAGAAAGGTTCTTTTATTGAAAGAAAACTTAAATATATGGTTTACTTTCACTTTCTGTGCAGCGGTATACTAGGTAGAGATTTTTACTAAATCTAAAAAGTTATAGATATAGAATTTGCTATAGGTTCTGGTTGGATATAATTTGATATTTTATCACTTCTGCATTTTATTTTTCGAACCCTGGTGCAATTTTATATGGCTGATATCCAAAAGGAAATGAAGTAAACATCATTTAAAAAATTTTACTATTGTCATTTCATCTTGTGTTGACAGTGATTGGGCATAGCTTTCAAGTGTTTACCAAACTCAAGCCTTGATTTTAATAAAGAACCATTTTATTGACTATTTTTCTGCAGTAAATTCTTAAATCAAGGACGTTTATTATTCATTTAATCTTTGTTGTTATTGTCATTTGCTTTATTTTGTGTACCTAACGATAATGTGGGTTTACTAAAAAATTATCGTTTTCTCTTAGCCCAGGTTAAAGGCAGTGACGAGCGTCATCTCTTTCCCTATTATTGTTGTTAAGTGGCTTTAAAGGTAGCTTCAAGTTTTTGGCTTATTATGAACTTGTATTCAGACATTATAGTTTATAATTAACATGGAATAAAATTGTTTTCTGTATTTTTAGCTACCTGTGGTGATAGAAGATTCTCGCTTAGTACAGTCTGCATTACACTGGGACTTAGATTACCTTCAAGAAAACATTGGAGATGGAAAATTCACTGTGTACAAATCAAAAAACAAACGATTTCAATACTTTGATGACAAGAAAATTGACTCTAACAAAAATTTTCAAAAACCAATGGAACATTTGGATTTAACATTTCCAGAGTTTGTAAACAAACTGAAGACAGCAAAACCTGGCAAGGACAGGTAAGTCTAGAGAGGGAAAATGTTTTGATATCATGTCAAATATTTATATTAAACCCAAATTCCCCCTTCAATGACTGTTGCTATTCATTCTCATCTGTAATTGTTGACTTGTTGTGTGCCGTCTGTCAACATATTTTGAATGTTTTAAGCTTCCTCTCTGGAACACCTGAACTAGTTTTGAAATATTTTAATGTATCATTTTATTGGAATTTCTTTCTTCCAATGAAAATGTAATGCATTGAAAATAAGCATATCGTAATACATTGATACAATACTTATTGTATTGTGAAAGAGGTCCATCTTTCACTGCCTACTCGTCTTGGCAGTTGGGGCCTGAGATGTGACCAAAACCATCAAAATTAATGCAATCTTTAAAATTCTTTTTATCATTTGACTTGACTGTAAATATTGTTACTTACTCCTGGATATTCAGCTGTAAAAATTTTTGCATAAAAGTACATCATATAAATTAACGATGTTATGTTGACCAAATTCAGAATTTATTTAATTGACACACTTGTACCACATTCATGTTCAGTAGTAAACAGATTTCATTTGTTTATGTACTATAAATTTATCAATCTTTCAGAGTGTATTTACAACAAGCTCTCAATGAGGGAGTTGGGAAGAGGATTGTTGCTGACTTTCTTGGTTTCAACTGGAGTTGGGTGACAGAGCAACAGAAGAAAAACAAGTTTGGTCCTCTGACCTCCAATCTGCTCCTCATTGGCATGGAAGGTATATAAACTTAGGAATTAATTTGTTACTGTAATATCAACACTCCTCCTCATCAAGACTCATATCTGCTTCTCTTTGGTGAAGATCAAATTTTAAAAAAGAACTTCAAATCTGTTCCTTGTAGACACAAAAACATATGAATTATTCAGTTGAAGCATTTGTAAAAAAAAAAAAAAACAATAAAAAATCTGAACAGGGTATTGTCATATCCAATCACAAATGTAATGAAAGTACATTGAATGACATGATTATTATTAATTTTGATTTTTTGTGTGTCAATGTTTTCCGTTACTGTTTAATATATCAAAGTTTTTAAATTTATTTTGATGTCAATGTTCAATATATCTTGTTAATACAGGCAACGTCACACCTGCCCACTATGATGAGCAAGAGAACTTTTTTACCCAGATCCGAGGATACAAGAGGTTTATCTTGTTTCACCCAGACAGACAAAGCCAGGTAAGTGGGAGACCAGTTCAAGTGTATGTACCCGTATCCCACCTATCATCCCTGTGACAGACAAAGCCAGGTAAGTGGGAGACCAGTTCAAGTGTATGTACCCGTATCCCACCTATCATCCCTGTGACAGACAAAACCAGGTAAGTGGGAGACAAAATCAAAGAGAGAGGGAGAGAATTAAAATTTAGGTTCCTCATTACTGTATCATGAAATTACAGGGACTTTTTTGAGAGAAAATAAGAGTCAAGTTTGAAGAGGAGACTTTGAGAACTGTAAAAAAGTTATCATTTTAGTCCTTTTATAAATACTGCTACATTTCCTATGCTGCAGTAAATTTTGTATGTATGCAGCAGAGAAACTTTTTTGTGTCCCTAAAAACATTTACCGTAATCAATGTATTCACTGATAGTATTTTGGCAAGATGAATGGTTTTGAAATCAAGACTACATGGTTGGAAAACAAAAATAAATCAATACCCAATTGGGGAAAAAATAGATTTTAAATATATAATAGAGCATTATTACCTTAATTGGTAGATTGTTGTAAGATATAAAATCCCTTCTGTATCTATATGTATGTTTGTTCATAAATGTCCTGTTTTGTGTTGTAGGTTGATTTTGATAATCCAGATTACAAAAAGTTTCCCAAATTTAAGGATGCCAAAGGTTATGAAACAGTGGTGGGGCCAGGAGATATACTGTATTTACCTATGTACTGGTAAGCATATTTTCTTAATTATTTACATCTTATTTACATCAGTGCATATTATCTTGGTTGAAGCCAAAGAAATGAAAGCTCTATGTCTATCAATGGAAGTTTTCTATTTTAACAAAAAAAATACTGTTGTTCATTTTCCAATGGAAAAGGTGATAAGATCTTACATTCTGTCATCTGAGCATTTGCAGGTCTCTCAGAAAGAAGCTTAAAGCAATATGAGCTGCATTTTGGAGAAATTAATTTTGTTGTTAAAACAAGTTATTATGACAAATCTGTATGTAATTTAAACCATTATGTTTAATTAGACTGATATAAAGAATTATTTTTGTTTTCAGAAGAAAGATTTCTATAAAGGAATGTATAGTATTTTATAAGAAATCAATATTGTACAGGACGACAATAATGTAATTTTGCTTCAATCAAAGCATACAAATAGTTCTTCTGTTCGAAATGTAAAGAGTAGAAGATTATAAATGCTCTTTTTTCTGTCATTTAAATAGTTAATTAAAATATTGCAACAAAAAATTTTGACATCAAAGTTGCAGCTCATACTGCTTTAACTTCTACACATTTTTAGATTTCAAAGATAGCATTCGGTGTTTTCATCTTCACAATTGTGAGTCAAGTGTATGCCAATAACATGTAAGATAGAAGGAGAACATTTCATTGAATCAAATCTTATTTATTTTTACAAGGTGGCATCATGTTGAATCATTACCTGACTATGGACATACTATTTCTGTCACTTTCTGGTATAAGGTGAGTTAAAAGACACAGTAAGTTATTCATATAATGGCACTATGGAATGTGTAAGGTGATTATGTCTATTCAAGCACATGCCAATCATTACGTTTATTTAAAATCAAAATTCAGTTGTTTTAGTTGAAAGATAACAGACTGATACTGATTCAGAAAGATTCATGTTATTTTATAAAATTTTGATTTCACAAAAGTTTTTTGAGAAAGTTGTCATGAGTTCATGTAATATTTTTGTGAAAAGATTTCAGTAATGTGTATGAAATTTACAGGCTGGTCCTATCGGAAACATAGTTTACCCCCTAACACCACAACAGAAGGTTTCAATGATGAGGAATATAGAGAAAATGATTCACCAAGCCCTGAATGATCCAGATGAGGTTAGTGGTTAAAAAGGGAATAGTGCATTGTCCTCAGATACAAAGGGTCATTTAAGGGTAGGGAGCTGTAAGAGGGGCAAAAATAAAAACAGTAATTTTAAAATAGACACTTTGGTATTTGGGAAAAGGTATGAGACCTGCATTGTACTGTGGTATGTTTCTTCACAACAACTTCAGGCAACAACAAGCTAACTTCAACAATTAACTGTCCTGGTAATTTGTGTTAAAGGGACATAAAATTCTTATTATCAGAATTGATTTTCTTTTTAATTTTCAGGTTCCAGAATTCATGCAGAACATGGTACTTGGTCGATACACTGAACCTCCCGCATAAAAAGAAGAGCTGAATTTTTTTTTATCTCAGTTGTACTTTTTTTGGTTTTTAATGATTATATTAAGTATTAAAGAATACATGTATTTTTAAAAGCACATTGTACAGTTTTGAACTTAATTCAAATATTGAAAATTTTTCTTTTTGTGAAGTATATAGATAATTTGTTCAGATAGTCCTTAGTATTTATGCTTCAGAGGTCACAGTATTTTGACCTTTTGTTAAAGATGTCTTTGGTGTGTTATTTTATAATTATTTTTATAAGTTTTTGAGATTTCTTTTTTGTTCAAAAAAAAAAAAAGAGAGAAGACATGTTTATGTATGTTAAATGGAGTATTACCAGGTACACAATATGTTGTGTGGTGATTCTTGATCTGCAGAAGGGGAGTTATGGACAAGCTTGAACTGTGATACGAAAGTGTTATGAAACCAACAATGTTGGATAAACATTTTATTTTTCATTTTTCCAAGTTAAAAGTTATATGATCATGTAGGTATGTGCATTATAGTTTTGCTATATCATATGAATTATTGCCATTTGTTTATTCACGTATCTTAAGACAATAATATGTTGATGTACAATGTACATGTATTTACAATGTTAATTAATATACCCCAGTATAAATACATGTAACGTCATTTAAAATTACTGGTACTAACTACTAAATCCAACTTTTATTCGTACGCAAAAAATACCTGCCAGTTTCACAGCGAACTTTAATTCGTGAATATTACTTGCTGCGAAACATTAATTTTGCTTCCGATGTGTATTCCTCTGTTGCAAAAATTAATTGTCGCGGATTGATTTCAAACTATCAAATCAAGAATAAAAGATGGTTTGAATAATTATTGGTTTACAACATCTTTAAATGGCCTAATGTATTGTACAGTATATGTACAATATTTTTTTCACTTCATTATTTCATACTAAAATAATTATCCTTGTACACCACTGTTTGCTCTAAATGTTTTAAGAACCCACTTAATCCAGTCAATTTAGCCAAAAAGTAGGCCCAGTCAGTTGCAACAGAAAATATTTTGTGGTAAATAAAAATAAAACGTGTAAACAGAAAGTAAAATATCGAAGAAAATGTATTATGGGAATACTATAGGAAGGGGCATAACTCTGTAGATCCACCAGTTTTGGCAGATAAATACATGTAGAAAGAAAATTTCCTTTTTATGATGATATAATGTAATCTTTATAATTACATAAAGATTTATTAAAAAGATTTGACACATGTTTTGATAAGTTTTACCTAAAATGCAAGCTTGGAAATGAAGCTAAACACTTGTTATTACTTTTCTCTGAATATAAAAAATTTCATCTGTATATTCAGAATTGTAATAAGCACATACATGTATGTTAATATGTACTCATGTACCTTTTTTGTATTGGTTTGTTTGTTTTTTCATTCAGATGGTTTTACTGAAAGCATTGATGATTTGGTTCATTGCAATATGTTCGTCTAAAACACTTTTAACTGTATATGTAAATACAGTTTTAGTACGGTACATTTATTTTTTTTCTGTGCTAGTGGATCTTTAATTAATGAAATCCTATTTGAAACATTGCCAGTTATGAACTATCATGAAATATATTGATCAACAGTTCTATTTTGCAAACTTGGAATAGTATTGAAAACCTGTTGTTTCTTGGAAAAGAACAGTTTGTTATATTTTTTCCTTTGCCTTTGAATAAAAGAAATATGCCACTATTAGAAAGTTTGTAATGATTTTTAAATATTAAGGGAACTGAATGCAATGAGCTGATTCAAGTTGTTAAAAACAAGTATACAAAATACATGTATGAACTTATTGCCATATCTGAATCTCAGTATACTAGTAATAGAAAGTTAAATAGTCTTGTCATTTCAACTGCATAACTTGTGATCCACGAGTGTCATTGTAAAAGCAGTCGTTGAAAATGCTAGCTTTTGACAGATTGTGCATGTAGTAGTGTAAGATACACGACATCCTACTAGCTTGGGCTCAATTGGTAGAGCACTGGACTGGCAACCAAAGCCCCAGGTTCAATCCCTAGCAGAGGCACAAAATTGTCTGTTACATTTGGTGCCTACATTGGGACCTGGGTGCTCTCTGGCAGGTGAGAATAATTGCCCTAGAACTTTGCCCCACAGGTGTCGGCACTCCAAAAGAGATGAGGATATCTCATTCTCTGGAGGGGGACAATGTAGTAGTGTAAGATACACAACATCCTACTTGCTTGGGATGGTGGGTTAACTCTTCAGCTCAAGTGGTAGAGCACTGGACTGGAAGCCAGAAGTCTCGGGTTCAATCTCCAGCAGAGGCTCAAAATTGTCTCTGTTACATACAGAATGTACCAAGGGTATTATGATATGGTGTTTTCCTTTCTTCATCTGTCTGTCTATTAATATTTTTGTGTTGGAGTCCTATCGTTCACTCTGTTTGAGACCAAGGACCATTAAACTTTATCAGTTGATTCATCAAAAGGGGGTATGGAATGCAACCATGAAGTTGTAGGTTGTATATGTCTTTCTTTTGGAATTGTAAGATAGCCTTAAGAATAGACATAGAGAAGAAGAAACAGCTACTCTTTTTGTATTGAATGTCAACAGATTAATAAATAACATAAAGGCATTACTGAGACATGCAACAAAAATTTAATAGGACAGTGACATAATCTCAGTTTTGGGTATAAATCAAAACATCATACAATCTGCACTTACATTATAGTCTTACTGCAAACAAACAATACTCGTCAAGTCAAATAAGATTACACAATCACTTGGGTTTCTTGGGATTCATGATAAATCATTCACACTGTACTTATTGATTTATAGCACAAAGCAATTAAGCAAACATAGAGCAACTCCACTTTTGAGTTTCAAGATATACTGTACTTCATTTAAAAAAACACCACTTTTTCTTGTTATAACTCTAACTCTATAAAGACATTGATTGAAACTGACAACATTCGTAAACATGTATATAAATCGCATCATTCTATAATCATCAAAAATACATCAATGGTTTTGAGGGATTTGTTTTAACAAGGTTGACATGATAGATCTTGTTGTTTTCAGTGTAAATTTAATTAAAATACATCCTTCAAAATGACAATATACAGAAGAAAAAAAATTCTTCCTAATAAATAATGTAAATGAATTGTATTCAACACGTATAATATTTGGCGGGAATAGATTTTTCAATCTCAGCACTATTAGATTTGATTAAGTGCATTTCTGAATTTATATATACATGTACATATAATCATGGCAATTAATATTTGGTGGATGCTGCTTTTGTACAACAAACACTGTACTTTAGTATTGCATTTCATGATAAATTCTGGAATTCAATCAATATGAGAAAAAAGTCACAAAACATTCATATTATCTATATTCAATATAGCAGACTGAATTAAGAAGCAAGTATTCAACGCATAAAAATAATTTATTTAAACATAGCCTTTAAAGCTGCAAATCAAAAAAAAATCATGCAAAAAAAATTATTCATAACAGAGAAATTACCAAGAATGGTAATGAGCTTTACCACTTAAGGGCATACGAAACGTACTTTTAACTCTGTTGTGTTTTTCTCTGAAGTTGAAGAGTTCCAATACTAAAAGGAACTGAATGCTACATTAAAAATGTCTATATATGCTGTTGTACACTTCTTTTAAAACAAGTCTGGGTATTAAAAGAAAACATCTAGAATACATGCTTAATAATTTTTGTATATTTTCCTTTGAATTATACAAGAATTTTCATCAATTGATATCTTTTCAAAAACCCTGGTAATGCATGCTAAATATTTGTCTGCGAACTTCTGATGGCACTAAGTCTATAATCTTAAATTAAAAATATCTTGAAAAATGTTCAGTAGGTCAGGAACGTTGCATATGTCCTTAATAGTAATCAGGTGTTAATACAATTAATTTAAGCCTAAATTTTTTCAACTCTGTTTGATCTTTTTCTTCTTTTGACCCCATGATTGAGAACCAGAAGATTGGGAACCAGATAACTGAGAACCGGACGACTGTGAACCGGATAATTTTGAACCAGATGGTTGTGAACCAGAACACACCAGAAGCTGCCAGTAGTAGGCCATCCCAAATAAGCAGGCACCACAGACGATGACTATGTACTCCACGTGGTTGGGGAACTTTGTGCCACAGATGGTGTACCAGCTCTGTCCAGGTTTAGGTAGCTTCTTTGTACAATGGAAATCAAAAATGGCCTCATCATACTTGTCAACACATAGGTACTTATGCTTCTCCAAAACCTGCATATAGAAATTTAGTTATTATAAAGTAATGGATTCAAAATTTAAGGATACAGTCAAAGAAAAAGTTCAAATGGGAAAATATTTTGGCTATTTAGTACAAATTCTATTTTAGGAAACAAATCCTTCCTATGTTCTAGAAAGATTCCTTTTATGTTCTCATCCAAAAAGGGTTTTATCTTCTTATTTTCAATGGAAGTTAGTTATAAAATTAAATTCAAAGTTCAGCTTACATGACCAAAGGCAGTGTACACTGGGGTAGTTTCCTGACACGAACCAATGGGTTCATGCAGACCGACTGAGACCTGCTTCTCTGGCTTGGCTGTAAACACCAGGAAGACATACATGGAGTAGTGGATGACCAGAGCCAAGATTATTTCATTGAAGTAGGATCCTAAAGAAATAAAATTTTGTAATCGTTTGCGTAAATTGATTGCTGTTTTGTGCATAGAACTGTAAGTTCAATTATGTCTTATACCTGAAGTATTATAAAGTGCTTAATTCATGTGATTAGTGATGTTTTACAGTGTTAAATATGATACAAAATGTTTTTAATGTCTTTTCATTTAACTGAAAACATTGTGGTAAAACATTGGAAAAGTTTAGTCTTATTTGGGTTTCATTTTTCACACAGTTGATTTTCTTCTGCATCAAATATGATGCTAAGTAAAAGACACCCACTCCTTCCAATTATAAGTAACTGATCCATGGACTTTCCTTTAGAGCCAGTTAATCAAGTGTTTTGTCAAACCTTTTGTCTCCCTGCACTTACTCTTCTCCTTTTTACTTTTCTCTTTTTCCTGCAGCTCATGCCTTTTGACAGCAGCTTTCCGATCTCCAGCCCACATGATCATGACGTACACCGCCATCTGGATCCAGACACACACCTCAGTGTGGATCTCGTTACTGTCATGAAGTGGGTGGTACACCGGCAAAAACTGGATCACTCCCAGAGGCATGCCTAAAATACCTGCTAGCAAGCATGCCAAGGCCTCTTTGAAAAACCTGAAAATAATAATATATTATTTGTGATATAATGTACTTGCATGACTTTAATTTGTATTCACATTTGTAAACATTAAGTTGGATAATATTACAAGGTATACTGTGGAATCATTTTAATTCCTGGGGTTCAATGTTGGTGGGTAAGCAAATTTTCACCTGTTCGTGGGGACGTAATTTCGTGGGTTTGTTGTAAATAAAAGTTTTCAATTAATCAATGTGTTAATAGAATAAATGTTCAAGAGGATGTAAATTTGTGGGTAAGGGTGACCCACGAAATCCACAAACATTGGTCCCCCACAAACAATGACGATTCTACTGTAGTTGTATTTTAGAAACGATGTAGAGAGTTTATTATTAGAATCAATCTTTTCTCAAATAAAGAATTAGACAAATCTCTACTTTTCTTAATAGTAAATACAAAATTCCAGTTTTACCCTGCACTTTGAAGCTTTTCTTCATTCTTTGCCAGCAGCCTGTGGACTCCATAGAATACAAAGGTCATTCCCGCAGCAAAGGTTGCATGGAAGTAGTAACTGGTCCAAGGAACCCAGTAATGGCGGTCGTAGATGTTAGGGTCCGTGTCGTGCCAGGTCCACCATAACAGCTTAATGCCCATAATATCGTAAGGAATGTCGATCAACACCACAGATATACCCACTGTAAAGTATTGAAGTTTTTTAAAAGTCGCATGTCTGACATTAAAGAAAAAACTTTTTTCCAGCATTTAACATGGAAGTACAGTAAAATATGCTTACAACAATGTGCCAAAGACAGGAGCAATTTTGTTCCAATATAAACATAATTCATTATATCCATTAGTTTCAAAATATGTTAAAAACCAAAGGGAAATAAACAAGAGTCCCATGGGCCACAACGCTCACCTGAGTAACTTGGGTGATGCAGTTCTTTACTAGATTTCCCCTTTTGCTATACCTATCATGCCCCCTACCCCATCCCTTTTCATGATTTTAACACTCCAGAATCTACACTACCACATGCAGTTCAGCTTTACTGGCCTAGTGATTTTTGAGAAGATTCTTAAAAGAGTTTTCCTAAATATATCTACGTAAAACTTGGATTCCCTATTGTGGCCCCGCCCTACACCCAGGGGTCATGATTTTAACAATTTAATATCTACACTACCCAAGGATGCTTCCACATTAGTTTCAGCTTTCCTGGCCTTGTGGTTCTTGAGAAGAAGATTTTTAAAGATTTGTTCTATATATTTCTATGTAAAACTTGGATTCCCTTTTAGTGGCCACGCCCTACCCTTGGGGGTCATGATTTTAACAATTTAATATCTACCCCTACCTAAGGATGCTTCCACATAAGTTTCAGCTTTCCTGGCCCAGTGGTTCTTGAGATGAAGATATTTATTTGTTCTATACATTTCTATGTAAAACTTGGATTCCCTATTGTGGCCCCGTCCTACCCCGGGGGTCATGATTTTAACAATTTAATATCTACACTAACCAAGGATGCTTCCACATAAGTTTCAGCTTTCCTGGCCCTGTGGCTCTTGAGAAGAAGATATTTAAAGATTTGTTCTATACATTTCTATGTAAAACTTGGGATTCCAAATTGTGGCCCCGCCCTACCCCCGAGGGGTCATGATTTTAACAATTTAATATCTACACTATCCAAGGATGCTGCCATATAAATATGATCAATTATGGCTTTGTTATTCTTGAGAAGAAGATTTTTAAAGAATTTTCCTATATATTTCTATGTAAAACTTGGGTCGGCCATTGTGGCCCCGCCCTACCCCCGGGGGTCATGATTTGAACAAACTTGAATCTACACCACCTGAGGATGCTTCCATATAAATATGATCAATTATGGCTCTGTTATTCTTGAAAAGAAGATTTTTAAAGAATTTTCCTATATATTTCTATGTAAAACTTACGGTATATTGTGGCCCCATTACCCCCGGGGGTCATGATTTGAACAAACTTGAATCTACACTACCTGAGGATGCTTCCAAATAAATATGATCAATTATGGCTTTGTTATTCTTGACAAGAAGATTTTTAAAGAATTTTCCTATATATATATCTATGTAAAATTTTGGTCGGCCATTGTGGCCCCGCCCTACCCCCGGGGGTCATGATTTGAACAAACTTGAATCTACACTACCTGAGGTATTTCACCATAAGTTTCATTTTTCCTGGCACAGTGGTTCTTGAGAAGAAGATTTTTAAAACATATCAAATTTTCATTTCTTAATTATCTCCCCTTGAATAAGAGCATGGCCCTTCATTTGAACAAACTTGAATGCCCTTCACCCAAGGATGCTTTGTGGCAAGTTTGGTTGAATTGGCCCAGTGGTTCTTGAGAAGAAGTCGAAAATGTGAAAAGTTTACAGACAGACAGACAGACAGACAGACAGACGGACAGCTAGACAGACAGACGGACGCCGGAAAAATGTGATCAGAAAAGCTCACTTGAGCCTTCGGCTCAGGTGAGCTAAAAACACTTTGCTTTAGGCATCAATTCATTATATTAGAGCATGTTTGCAATAAACATTTTTTTGTAATATGGAGTTTGATAAACATGAAAAAAAGATTATAGTGAATCAAACAGACTTGACAAACAATGTTGATAGCTATGACAATTATGCAGTTAATAAAATTGTTGTTTACCAGCAAATGGTTCTGCCCACCAGGGGAGTCTGAGATGGGAAACTCCAACAACAGCAGTGTAGTAAAAGAATGTATCTGAAGGGAAAAAACAGACACATTTTAATTAAACTGTGAGAGATTAATGTAAACCAACTATTATTCGTGTCATCTTTTATTCGGGATTCATCGGTTTTATAAAATCAATCTGCGACAATCAATTTTCATGACTGAGGAAACATTTTATACAAATACTAAGCAAAATGATTGGTTTGTGGTGTTTGATACATGTATTAGCAATACAGGGTAGATTGCAGAACTCGTGAATATTGCTTGCACAAGAATAAAAGCTGGTTTACAGTAATCCAATTTACAATCTTTAGAATTTACTTCAATAAAAAAAAAATCAACTAGAACTGTCCAATACGTATAATATTTGGCGCTGGGTTTTTCAGAGAAGGTGCCAATTCAAAAATACTTTATGATTAAGTGCGTTCACTGATTTATATAAAAATTTACAGTAAAATATGTGCAATTAATTTTTAATGAGTGAAACTGCTTTTGCAACATCAAACTACATTGTAATTCAATTTAACATTTTTTTTATTTCTGCATTAAATATATTGCAATTATGTGTCATGATGCAAACTAATTGTTGAAAAAAAAAATCATTATACAAAATCAAATTAATCTTGATATATCAAATTCATTTTGAAAATAAAAAGCTGGTCATCCAGTAATGAAGTGCTTTGACAGACAATAAATTACAACCAAGAGAATAATTAAGAGAGATTTTAAGTGCCTTATTCCCTGGAGAATAACACACACACGCTTGAAAAAGATATGCCTTAACAACCTCCAACACCAAACTCAAATTACCAAACTGGATGCATGTCCAGTCATTATTCCAAGAGACAAATGAATTTACATATCTTCTATGTAATGTAAAAACTGTTTTAAACACTTGTTGATGTTTCTTTTTTTTAGTTTTAATGAGTTGTTTTAAGGTACTAGTTCACATTTTTGTACATGATATTTATATTCTGTCTCTAAACCTTATAAATGAGCCAAAAATGAACAAGTCAATTTAAATAAAAAGTAAAACCTGTAAAATGCAGAAAAATTAACAAATTTTGAAAATTCCATGCATTTCATTGGTGAATTATAAGTGTGCAAATTTTCAGATAAATTGATAGTTTGTGAGAAACGGTCTGCACAAGACCACAAAATAAAAATGAAAAAACACCTGTAAAATTCAAAATAATGATCCAATCAATATGAAAATAGCAAGGCCAAAATAAAATTTTAGTTTGTTTGGAATTGCCGCCCGCCTCATTGAAATACCCCCCGCTCAAAAAATTTTATTGGTAAAATATAGACAATATTTTTTTTACCGTTTTATCGTCTAACATTGTTTGTTACAAGTTCGTTCGTCGAAATATCTTTTTCAAGTCGGGTTCGAGCTTTTTTTCTTTATATTAACTGGTACCGATAAACTGCACCATTCCCAATGCCAAAACGTTAATTTTTACCAATTTTGTGACCAAAAATTCCCAATTCAATTGTGAAGCAGCAGACTGTGATGACATCATATTTCTTTTTAAACGAAACAACAGGTGGTGATTTGACAAAATGAAAGCCGCCAAAATGTCAGACCAGGTTGGGTCAGTTGATGTGAAAACATTCAAGCGTTGAAGAGCATTTCCATAAAAATAAAAGGTGAATAAAAAATTAAATGGAATGGTACACCAATACCTGGAAAAAGCTGTTGTAATAGATTGCACGTTGAACTTGATAGGCTAAGTCCGTCATGTTGAAATTAAAAATGATCCTTTAGTCATTAGATCCCAGTTAAAAAATTACATGGATCAGATATCTGTTATCCCAAATACTGAAGGAAAAATGTTGTCTGTCAGTATAACAAGTCTTTAAAAGCTAATGTTAAAACTGATTCATGGTGAACACTCTAGAACAAACCAAGCACCCCCTCCCGTTTTTCCAAAAAACATCCAAACTATTCTTAAGAAATTTTGTGTGGTTTGCACTGTTTGTAAGGGTTGTCTGAACAAAGGGCTAAATTTCAGGAGAAATGCTATGATTTAGACTGACAAAATTATTGTTTAATTTTATTTAAAATAAACCAGAATGTTTGATGCTGAAATTTGACTGTTATGAAATGAGCAGATCTAAATAAGATTGAATATTTTAGTACTGTTCTGTAGATATAATTTTTCAAAATCAAAACAAAAATAATATTAATGAAATAAAAGAGTTTTATTAATAAAAATCACAAATGTTCATTGGATTTTATTTCTTATCATTAAATAGCTTCAATTTGTAAAAAAAAAAAAAAAAAAAAAAAATATGCCTCCCTCCCTCCTGGGTCTGAAAACCCCCAGGCGGCAATTCCAAACAAACATTTTTTTAAGGATGGCCCAGGTGCACACCTTCATATGGTGAATAATATGTGTATAAATTTTCAGACAAATCCTTCCAACAGTTTTTGAGTTTGCAATGGATGACCAGAGCCAAAATCTCGTCTACAGACAGAAGTACGGATCCTGAAGAAATGGTGAAATTTTGTAAACTTCGTTTGCGGGGGGTATAATTATAAAACTGACTTACACAATACCATAATGTACAATGGTAACCGCTGTCCTGCGAACATCACCATTGCCTGAGCATGCCAGAAGTTATCTATATCTGGAAGGAAATAGCTGACCATTTCTGTGGTAAGTCCCTGAAGAATACAGGTCAACCATAACCACTTATACCGCCCACCATTACGAAGAGCTGAAAAATATTAGGAATCCAAGGTAAATAACATTTTTTTGGATGTTAAAGTCAAAATGAGTATGTGATGTGGTTATACAATTGACTCCTTTTGAATCTTTGTTCACAGACAAAGTGTTACTGAGCTTCACTCTGTGAGAGGAATGATGCCAATAAAACAGTGAGATTTTTATCTACTCAAGCAAAATTTTTGTTAAAGATCTCAAATTTTATAATACTGAAAGTGCAATATTTTCTTGTGGATTTACATTTGAAAGATGAAAGATAATAATATGACAGTTCATACCATGACACAGACACAGTGCAGCATTGATTATCATATACACTTCTGCCAGCAAGAAAGTAGGGTGCTTCTCCAATATATCCTTAGGATTTCGAAATTTCACCCACCATTCCAGCTTCTTGAAGAAGATACAAAAATTAACCCCGTGGTTTATTTATTTATTTTTTTTTTTTTGTATTAATCTTTGAACCCAAAATAAAACAACACTTTAATGTGAACAAAAGAATTCTACTGAATCATGTAAATTTTATTCTAATTTCTATTTAATATTACATGGAATACAGAGTTGTTGAAAACCATATTGATCCTGTCAGTAAGACTGGTAAAATTTTCTTTGACCAATGATTAAACAAGAAAATATTTATGTAAATGACCATTGCTGGATTTAGAAAAGACATGTTTGATACAAATTTTCAACAACAAAAAAAAAAAAAATAAATAAATAAAGATTGTGGTCTCGGAAAAACAAAGGTGATGGCCATATGGCCCTAATGTGGATGGTGGTCAATTAAAATTTATTTAAGCTGACAAAACTACAGTGGAGCCTCATTTATCCAGATGCTTTGGTTCCTAGTCAATTTGTCCAGATATGTGAAGCGTCCGGATATCTGAATTACCATTTAACAAGACAAAATAACATTTAAAAAAATTCCGTTCTGACGAAAAATCGTACGGATATCTGAAGGTCCACTGTATATATTTATGTCTGATTACAAATTTTTCATTCCAAAAATGAGGATTGAATGTTGTTCGGAATGATAGAGAGAATTTTGGTATTGCTATTCAATTTTCTTTAAAAAAGTAAAACTTGAACTGATAGAACCTTTGACTTTGATAGATCAAATGAAATACGGTGAATACTGATTTAAGAATTGGATAACTCTGGAATGTTTAATTGATGTCTTAGCTGCAGAACTGTAGCTCTCTCAAAAAAAAATACATTGACAAACCGGCGAGCTACAGCGCCACCCATTGAAAAAAACAATACATTTTTTTCCAGACCAGCGAGCCACAATTTAATCTGCAGCATTAAATGTATGCCTATATAAACATTTATTTATTTATAGCGAGCGCAGCGAGCGTCGTGAAGCGACGCTCGCAAAGCGAGCTCAATAGACTAACGTGTATGAACAAAATTCGGATTGAAATCTGTACATAATAAAATTTCTCTTGCAACATTCCCAGAATTGTGATACCCAATGTCCTTTGCGCGAATAAATTTGTAGTAAAAAAATTAAAGAAACATTCTTTCTTACCGAAATCTTAACGAAATGATTTTGCCTTACCTTATTCAAAAAAATACCCCCATGCCACAACACCGGCCTTCACCTTGCCCTTCGGAAATGATACAAATGACGTCACCGGAAACTTACGAATTTTGACGAAGTTATGTCGGTTGCTTCCGTAAGACTCGGAAACATCTTGCGGTGCATAGCAACATGGTGGCTAAAACATAGCAACAACTTACTTGAAAAGAACGATTTAATGCAATCTCTTTTCCATAAAACTAGCGTTTGCGTTGCAACAGAAACTTTATCTGACGTCATACTTTCTCACTTCAACGGTTCGGGTATTTCCGAGAAAACTTCCAGAAGTTTGGAATCTCGATCGTAGATGCTTGGGAAATGATTTCTTTTTATTGTTTTGTTTTATTCTTTTTGCTTTCTTTTTCTTGAATAATAGACAGTACATGTGTAGGTTTATGATAGTAAATAAACTGCGCTCGCCCCAACGGTCACACCGTAAAACATATTAAATAGAGAGATAAGTAAATTTTGAATAAATATTTAAATAAAATAAAATTTGACGTCTTTTGATACTCACATCGGAATCGTTTAAAGTCAGCATCTTCTTTTATAATGGAAAATCGACCGAGAGGGCAAACTCCAACCTGGACTTTACCCTTGGTATGGATGACGCAATCTTTTAGCGCCTGATTTCGCACATAAAATATGTACCTAAGATTGGAATATATTCTTTTCTTAAAATTTCAAAGTAAATACTTGCAAAAAACTGCTTATGCAGCGTCTAGAAAATAATCCCGGTTCAGTCGCAGCAGAAAATCAAACGGGAAATGATTAACGCTATAAACCATTTAAAAGTAATCTGACCGAACTAATTTTCTCCGAAATAACTAATGGAAAACTATTGCTACGAGGGAAGTTTTACTATTAATTAAACTGATGAGTGTGCAGATCTGTTGGTAAAAACATCCCTGATAGGATTTAAGGGTTTAAAAATATTCCCGGGTAAAGGAAAAGGGGGTGCAAGCCCGTAGAAGGGGTAGGGGGCATTTTTTCTGAGTATCGTATTTTGCTATAATGAATTTTCCTTTTATAGATATTGGATGGCCTCTTACCTTTTTTTTCTTTAAGACCGAGCATTGGAGAATATTATATATAATTATATTTTTTTAATCCCTACCGGTAGCTTACGGAAGCCCATTGAGCTCATTTTCGTTTGCATAATAACGCGTAACTTTTGTGTTATAACACGTAACTTTTGCAAATAGTTATACCGGCGCAAAACTTTTGCGAATAAACGCATAACTTTCGCGATATAACGCGAAACTTTTGCTGTTTAATTAACCGACACATTTGCATAACTTTCAATTTTCATTTGATTTTATGATCTAGTTTATTCGTTACAATTTCCATTATCTATAAACTTTTTCCCGTCACATTTTGTGTTTCTCAGTGTTGTTCAAAGAATTCAAAGTGAAACTTACATGTATAGTGAAACATAATTGAAAAGATCACCCTTTGTCAGTGACAATTTTTATACACCCTCGAGCCCTGTACGTGGAATTTGAAATAAAATTTACATTGAATTTGACGAAATAAAGTAAAGTTGTCAAAGTGTCCTATTACATGGGTGACGTAGATCTATATGATGTGAAAATTGGATGACAAATGTTCATTTTGTCTCCGTTAGACTCAGTGTAGAACCCAGGTAGCACAAAACATTTTCAAAACATTTTATTGGTGTTGTAAAAAGGTTTTTTCGAAACATTTCAGACTAAACATTTTAAAAACATTTTAAAAACATTTCCTCTTCTCTTTATAACATTTTAAAAACATTTTTAAAATGTTTTCAAGAAGCTTATGATTAAATCCTTTTGGAACATTTTTCTAAAATATTTTTGAAACGTTCTTAAAATGTTTCGAAAGGTATGTTTAGCTTTCAAATATCAAAGATTTTTATATTACGTTTTAAAAACGTTCTAAAAACATGAAATGAAACATTCCTTTTCCATAAATCTGAAACATTGCATGGTATTCATGCAATGTTTCAGATTTATGGAACATTTGGAAGGAACGTTGTCAAAATGTTTTTGAAACATTCTTAATTCTTTAAAAGAACATTTTTCTTAAAACTATTCTAAGGGTATGTATAGCTTCCAAATATTAAAGATCTTATAAAACGTTTAAAAAACGTTCTTAAAACATGAAATAAAACATTCTTTTTCTGTAAAACGGAAACATTGCCTATACGTTTCTGAAAAAATTGTAAGGAACATTTTAAAATATTTTTAAAACATTCTTAATATCGCTGTTAGTTACAAACATTAAATTCCGGATATTTTTCGGCCTAGGCAGTGAATATATGTATTACTTAAAACATTAACTAAAATAATTATTTTCACTACAATTGAAATATCTATAGTTTTTGTAACATTTTTTGGAAACATTTTCAAAATGTTTCTGAAACATTTATGTAAATGCGGCACAATTTTAATTCATTTATTAACTTTAAGAGTATGTTGTGAGAATAATTTTAAAACATTCAATTTAATGTGTTTTCCTTTTTTAAAGACTTCATTTTTCATTGCTGCAACATTTTTTAATGTTATTTTCAAAATGTTCTTAAAACATTTAAATAATGTATTTTCCTAAAATTTAGTTTATGAAGGAAAAAAAAAGAATATATAGAAAGAATAGTGTTGAAATGAGGAATTGTAGTAATTTTTTAATTGAAAGATTTTTTCCGGTACTTTATAATGATTTCTAGTTTTGGCTTGTTGATTAAACAGACATATATAAAGTCCTTTAATTAAAACAAATCAAAAATCAATAAATGAAAGGATAGGCAAACACAAAATTTAAAATATAAATAAATGTAAAAAATCATAAGCATTTGATAAAACTCTTAATTTTTTTTTTAAAATGTTCTTCATCAAATCTGTGATCCACTCCTAGGATTTTACTCTGAGGCATTAGATAGGGATTGGCACACTGGTCAGTTTCAGTGTCATGATAACCTATTATGCAATTTTCCTGCTGGGCAGCGCGTTACAGAGTATAGTGGTTTGCAGCTTATCTAGGCCAAATTTTGAATTCTGGTAAACAAGATGTGCGCGCTTACTCCGTGCCGATTTGAATGAGAAGACTTTGCACCATAAAACAACAATAATAACCTCGGGATTTATTAACTTTGAATGGTAAGAATTATTCCTTTATCATAGACTTTAAAAGATCATTTAAAAATGACTTTTATACTACCAGTGCATGATCAATAACTTTGTACAAATGTATGTAGCAAATGACAAAGCGTTAAGGTTATACACATGTATTTGATTTGAATATCTCATTCTTAAGTCAAAACAATTATATCCTTGATTCAAGTATTCGTTGTCTTTGTGGAATGTTTTAAAATCATCAAACAATATGTTGATTTAAAAATGAAATTTCTTTACAGCATGGTGTTGATTGCATCATCCGTATTTTCAAATTCCCCCATTCAAAAGACCCGCCTTTGGTGAAGGCAAAGGTGTACGTAAATACTATTACTCTTCCATAATATTGTTATAGTAATTATTTTTCTGCTTTTTTCAATGCAAATGAGGAAAGAACTTAAATTTGATTTAATTATTTAAAATATTTTTTGTATATTTTCATTGATCATCTTAAGAAACATTAGATGTAGAACGCTGATACAAACACAATTTTCCTTATGTTTACAGGTTGTGCTATTCGTTCCGAGGGGCGGATTCCTTATCAGCCTTTTCAGTGTATGTGATTCTAACTAAGTCTAATAGATCCGCCGCTCTCTTCAATCTATACTGTGAACATAGGATTTCTGTGATTCTGTTCATTTAAAATTCAGTGAATGGATTAGACGCTGTTTTCACCCTTTAAAAACCCGGTGACTTGAAAGAAAATAAATAAAAACTCGAGAATGGAATTAAATGTGATTAACATATTGAATATGGGTTTGTATTAAAGGTTCAAAAATTAAATATAATTTGTGTTTATTTCTTATATCATTATTTAATGAGAAAAGTAAAATTTCAGTAAAAATACTTTTGTAACTTCGACGTGAATGTTTTGAAAACGTTTTAAAACCAAACAAATTAAACGTGAAAAAAAAATTTGAAAATGTTTTTGTTACATTTTATAACAATGTTATGATAACATTTGTTGAAATATTTTGTAAAATGTTTTAAAAACATTTAAAAAACCATACAAAATCACGTGATTACAACATTGTTCAGAAATGTTTTCGTAACATTTTAAGAAAATGTTCAAGAAACATTTGCTGAAATATTTCACTAAAATGTTTTAAAAACGTTTAAAAAACCATACAAATTCACGTGATTAAAACATTATTGAAAATGTTTTTGCAACATTTTAAGAAAATGTTCTGACAACATTTTGCTGAAATATTTCACTAAAATGTTTTAAAAACGTTTAAAAAACCATACAAAATCACGTGATTAAAACATTTTTAAAAATGTTTTCGCAACATTTTGAAAATGTTTTAAAAACATTTTAAAAATGTTTTTGTGTTAGCTGGGAAATACAACACCGTATTTTGAGGTTGTACCACGTGGTCATTCCATTACTTACGAAACATTGACTATTAATTCAGTGTAAAAACTCTCAAAAAATCAGTCTTAACAATTTCTTGAATTCAAATTGTGAAAACAAGAAAATTTTTAAAGAAATATATTCATTTTGTTAATTAGCAGGGATCTGAAATATAATGCAAAAATCTGAAGACTAATCTATCACATTCTCGAGTCATTTCTCATTTACATCTTCTGAGAATAAGTCATTCATAAACATAGAAGTTCTCGTCTGCCTTCATGTTTCATATCTGTCAGGCAGTCAAGATCAAAGGTCTCTAAATAACATTACTATATATATACGCGATATAACGCGAAAGTTTCGCTTTCGGGAAAATTATGCCTTATGCGCGAAAATTACGCGAAAGGTACGCGTTATAACGTGAAAGTTATCCGTTTATTCGCGATAGTTTTGCGTTATAACACATAAGTTAATCGCGTTTAATATTTGCGAAAGTTTCGCGTAATATAACGTGAATATTTTATTTTTTTAACCTACGGAAATGAGCACATAAACTACTGTTGATTTATCTTCCATCTTTCAAAATATGGCAACATGTATATTTTTGCAGTAATTGGTAATTTAAACCAAACTTATTGAAAATAAATGCAGTTTTACTTTGAACCATTAAAGAATTGTGATGATGGAAATACAAATACATGTACCCTCTCGCATCAACAATTAAATTAATTCTTTACTCTTATTTTCTTCTCGGTTATTTTTCAAATTATTAAATTGATAAGAAACGAGAGAGAGAGAGAGAGAGAGAGAGAGAGAGAGAGAGAGGGGGGGGATTGTGTATTAGCTTTTTTTTCTTTAAGGTTGTTTGCGGTTTTTAGTCGCACCTTTCTCATCCAAACCACCTGTTCCATAGTTTCGCATTTTAGCGATTTATACTAAATTTCTATTTTTCAGCAATTATTTAGCTTTTTTCTTGAATATTGATTATACAAAAATGATGATACATTATTCCACTAATCATATTTCCAAATAGGACGTTTTAAAAAATATTATCGAATGACAAATTGCGGCTCCTCACGTTGTTGAGTTTTTAGGAGCCAAACAAATAACTATGGCGGACAGTGCAAGTGAATTGGAGAGCGATACAAGCTCAATAGATGGTGGCCCCACTCTTAAACCACCATCACCAGCTGCTGTTGAGCAGCTTCAGAAGAGGATTGAGTCACTTCAGCAAGAAAATAGGGTTTTGAAGATGGAACTTGAAACTTACAAGTTAAAATGCAAGACCTTACAAGAAGAGAAAAAAGAACTTCAGAAAGCCAGTGTGAATATTGTGAGTATTTTTCTATCTGTACTGAAAATTAGGTTTCACTTTAGTGGTTTAAGGTTTGTTTTTCAAGTTTTTTGAGTTGTCATGGCCATTTCTTGATGTTTGGCGTAATCTTGGATAAGATGAATACATAATGAGTCATAACCATGCATAACACTTGTGTTACACTTGATGATAGACATTGGCCATAGAAACTGATTTGATTACTAATTGAGTCCTTATTGATATAAATAATATCCAAACAATAAATACTTAAACTATTTTGTCCCTCAAACATATTATAATTGCACTGGACTCATTGTAAATTTGTAAGTAACAAATTATTTTTAGAAATGACAGTCTAACACTTTGTGTGAAATTTTGAGCACAATGTTGTTTGTATCCGATTCTTTGGGAAAATAATATTTAAATTTTATCTTTTGGTAAGTTTTTATTGGACAATTCTTTTTCCACTGTTGTTGGCTTCTAAAATATATTAGGCCTAAAACATTTTTACTTTTTGTTAAAGTTAATAGATTATTGCACTTAACCCTTTCAACACGGTAGACCGAAATTTCGGTCAAAAAAAAAACGTCGTTGAACACGGTAGACCAAAATTTCGGTCTCAGGCACATGGTGAAAGTAAACAAGTTATTCTTAGAAATAGGAAGTGTTCTCTGCGCAAAATCTTTCGCAATGCATTCTGGGTAGATATATGTAATATCCGTTTCCAAATATGGCGGACCACATGGTGAGAATCGCTGATAAAATGAGAAATATGAGACGAATCTCGAGAAGAAAGCAAAATGGCGAGCGACAGCGAAGAATCAGACCTTTCTGGCGACGAAAACTTTGATGATGTGGGGACTTTTGACTTAGTTAACCTTCCGAGACGTCAACAAAATGAACTTGAAAGACAGTTCCGAAATATTGTAGGCGAAAGCGACGAGGACTCGGACTTTGAAGGGTTTGAACCCGAGGACGTATACAGGACCCCCGAGTTTGCTGACTGGGAGAAGACAGAAAACAGAAGGGATATTCACCCATTTCGTGAGCGTGTAGGCCCCGTCCGTGTTTTGGATGCTTCTTGTAAGGCTGTAGACTTTTTTCAAATGTTTTATACTCATGAATTATTTGAAAAAATAGTAGAATATACGAACCTAAGCGCAGCTACAAAACGGGCCGCTGACCCAGAAAATCACAAGGGGTCTTGGACTGATGTAACCGTGGAAGAGATGAAGGCATATTATGGAATTCTTACTGATGGAGGTTATGACATTTGAGAGAGATGAACTTTATTGGTACAACAATGAGAAATACTGGGTGATAGGGTCCAAAATTGGAGAAATTATGACCAGAGACCGCTACATTCAAATCAAACGTTATCTTCACTTTAGTGATGACAGGAACAACAATGATGACAAACTACACAAAGTGCGAATGATTTTAGACACCCTAAGATCATCATTCCAGCAGGAATACATCCCACATCAACATGTATCCGTAAATGAGGCTATGATTCCATTCAAAGGACGAGATGAAGCAGTACATGAGAGACAAGCCGATAAAGTTTGGAATCAAAATGTGGGTGGAGCAGATGCAGTAACAGCCTACTGTCATAATTTTGAAATCTATGTCGGGAAGAATAATGATGTCATAATCAACAAGAATCTAGGACTTTCCTCACGAGTTGTCATTGGAATGACAAAGCCACTCGAAAATAAAGGCTACGTCATTTACACCGAACTTTGGCCGATTATTTGTATACACGCAAAACATATCTATGTGGCACAGTTAGGCCCAACAGAAAAGGCTACCCAAAAGCCATGATTCCAACGGCCCGAGATGTCAGGAGAATGCCACGAGGAACGTCAGACTGGCTGATGTGTGGACCGTTATTGGCCTCGTACTGAAGGACAATCGTCTTGTTTACTATCTGTCGTCCTACCACAGACCAGAGGAAGATGATCTCGTCACAACAAGAAGAAACAAAGACGGCACTGAAGTGGAGCTTCCTGTCACACCAACAGTGAAGGGTTATGCGGCGTACATGGGTGGTGTTGACAGGCTTGACCAGATGTCCAAGATGAATAAGTCAAAGAAATCCCTACACTGGTACCGCAAAATTGAAATTCGTCTGCGGGAAATTGCTTTGTATAATTCGTACATCTTGGAGGGTACAGTTCTGGACCATAATCCAAGAAATAAAAGGAAGCGTGACATGCTTAGCTACAGACTTGATGTGGCCCATCAACTCATAGGAGACTACCGCCAGGAACGCCGAGGATTCAAGCGCCCACGTTCCCTTGATGCTCAACCAGAGATTCGCCTGGACGAAAAATCCCACTGGCCTGCAGGGACTGGAAGTGGCAATACAGTCTGTGTTTTGTGCAACAAAAAACATCAGTTGTACAAAAACAGCCATCCTGGATGTTCCGTAGCCGAAAATCCGATGAAGCGAACAAAAACGACTATGAAGTGTGAAAAGTGCGATGTTCCGCTGTGTTGCAATGCAAGAAGCACTTGCTTCAAAGACTATCACACCAAAGTGTATTATTGGCAGTAGACTAGTGAAGTAAAAACTTGAGGAAAGTAAAGCTGTGTGCACATTTCTTGGACTTGTGAATAGTGATGAAAATCTCTGATTTTTATTGAAACGTTGACATTTTTCATTTGAATTTTTTTTTGACTTGTGTTGATCAAACTATATCATGTTTTATATCATTTTATTCAGGAAATATTTGTCTTTCAATTGATGGTAAGAATTTGTATATTTTAAAAACTTCATAGCAGCAAATTAATCAAAATTTATGAAAATTTAAATTTTCAAATGATTTTTTTTATAATCACATTATTTTTTTTAATTTTATTTGTGCATAAATGTTCATGAAATTTACATATCTTCATAGAGAATTTAATTGCCTTTTCAATGATGTATAACTTAATAAATTTGATGAAGAAATAAAGATTTTATGATGATTTTTCTAACACTTTTTGGCTACTGATGAGCAAAGTTACTCAGTGTACCAGGCTCTGGAGATCTTAAGTTACTCAGTGTTGAAAGAGTTAAGAAAGGGAAAAACTTAATCTTGTTTACATTGCCAATTAATGAAGTGTAACAGGAAAGGAGAAAATGTATGGCTGGACTAAAACCCCTATCTCCATCAGCTATCCACGGCCTAAATTACATTCCTCCCTCCTTAAATGGTCTTCGCCCTCGAAAGTTAATAGACTTTCACCTGCAAGTCTTAACGGCACCAAATCTGTAACAGGAAAGGACAAAATGTATGGCTGGAAAAACTTAATCTTGTATATATTGCCAATTAATGAAGTTTAAGCAATGTCTCTGCAATACTTCTGCTATGGAATCCAAAATAGTAAGATGTTTTCAAAAACAAAATTTGATGATTGCTAGGATAGAAAACTAGAAGTTCAGGCAATAAGGATCGTGGATACCAGCCTGGGTAGCTAAGTGGCAGAGCACCTGTTTATTTATACAGGAAAACCAGGTTTGATTCCTGGTCCAGCCATATATTTTCTTTATGCATCTTCATATCTTACTACATTTGGTGGTGTTGGGGTGGTCTTGTTTAAGTTATCTGTAAATAACCAAGTCTTCACAGGGCCTGTGAACTTGTGTCTTTGAGGTTGAAGACTGTTTAAGGAGGAAGAAATTTTATATATATAGGAGTTAAGAAGGCATGGTTATCAGCCCTGACTGTTATCTTAGTGGTGGAGTAATAACTAGAAATACAGGGTCCAAAGTTTAGCATCTGATCCAGCCATTATGCATTCTTCCTTTACCACTACACTAGTTATTATTGGAGTTTTAAATAGAATCTATTATCCTTTTCTTTGGGATGCAGTTCAACACAAGCAAAATACTCAATGTATTCTGTAAGGAACATTTATTAAAAATAACAAAAATATTGAGGAGCACACATTTAAAGTCACACCCTCCCCCAAAAGCTTCACAGTCATAAAAAAAACTCAGATATATTGTACATATATGATTGATTAAGTCATTATAGTAAAGTGCACATGGATATAATACATTTATGTTGCAGAATTGATTTTATTGTCCCTGAGGAGAATTATCAAATCATCTTTCTTGTATTCTTGCCTTTCATACAAGTTGTCAGCATTTATTTGTGTTGTATAAGATACATAAAACCTCTGGCCTTGCTGATTATGGTTAGATGTACTTTATTCAAATGTTTGTGGATAAGTTTCATCTTTTGATGGAAAATTGTGAAATCTTTTAAGTCACTTGGTTGTTCCTAAAACATTATTATATACTACGATAATAAATGTGTTTAAAAGAAGGTTTATTTATTGATTTTCTCTGAAATCAGTATTCAATTGCACATCACCAGTAATTTTGCATAAGGAAATTTACAGGTCGGTTTGAATCTAAATGATGTATCGGCTATAATTATTTTCTCTTTATCAGAGATCTAACCCTGAAGCACAGAATCCATCAGAACCTTCTCTTGAAGCTGTAGTTCTATGATTTTTTTGTTACATGTATACACACTGACACTATTTTGTAATGATTGAATAATCAAAATGATTTCAATCCTACTGGTTAGGGGGTAATTATTTGAAAAGGAAACCAATGTTTAGTCATGTTAGAAATCTTAAAATTTAATTTAGAATTCTAAAATTACAAGTTACTTATTTCCCAGCAGAAATAATCTTGTTTTAAATTTAATCTAAATAACCTGCTGTTTACATTGTATTGAACCATGTTAAACATGATGATATGTAAACATGGTGAAAGGTAAAAAAATAAAGTATGAAAAAAATTCAAAAAAGTATTTTTATTTATAAGAACTTTATATTTGCAATAATTTCATGATACCATCTACTTGTGAATATTTTGTTTCATAAATATAACTTAAAAGTTTCATACTTAAGTTTATATGCAATAACCAAATCATGAAATTTTTTTCTACCTTAAAAAAAATACTTATTAACAATCTCAATAAACAATCTCTTGGCATAGAAATACTAAGAGGTAGCTAAATATGTTTTTTTGGGAAAGACCCAAACACCCTGATAAAGATAATCAGAATTTAAAAGATTTTCCAGAATTCATAGAGTTCTATATCCTTGACCTTGATACACTTGCTTAAATTTCTAATAATTTAAAAGAGATTTCATGAATAAAGTCTAGTCATTTCAGGCACATATTAATACAATGATAATGCAAAGAAAAATAAAACATGTTTTAAAAATGCAATCTTGGAATATAATAGAATCATAATACTTTGATTCAAAACTTTTTTCTGATAAATAGGAAATTAAGGTTATAATGTCCTAAAATATAAATATATTCAATTGAAACATTTGATTTTTGTATTGAATCTGAAGAAAAAAAAAATATTTTTGAAGAAGCACGGGGTTTAAGAATGATATAATCTACTAGAATAAGATATTATGCAAAAGTGTTTGAATATTGATCAGTGTTTGACTGCTTGGGAGTGTTTTGGCTGTCTGGAATTTTGATCATCATGAGATTATGCAATGTGTGTGTTTAGTAGAGAGACCATACATTTTCAAAAAAATTCCCATTCTCCCTCCAATTTTTTCAGAGAAATAAAACATCTTCTAAACAAATAGTTATAGAGAAACATTATTGATAAACATACAAACAAATTTTTCATTTTTCCTCCCAAACATGTTACTTGAAGAAAGATCTAGTAGATTGAAGACTATGATTGTGGCCATAGCAATCATAAAGGGATTCTGAGGTGATGTGGAAATGTTGTTTTTATAGGGCCACTGACTGATTTAATGCAGATTTCTATGGTAATCTGATAAACACCATGTGAATGGGAGATGTAGAAAAGCTCTGTCTGATTGAGATTGCATAAATATCTTATCTCCTTTTATCTGCCACAGTTCTGTGTATGAATTATTATAGCAGTCATCTTCAGCAGTCTAAGGGATATGGCATACTGTGTGGACATGATTTGTAAATTATGGTATATGTATGGGGTCATTTTTTGGGTTAGGTATATATTGTTCTGCTGTAAGCATCAATCATATTAAAAAGGAAAAAAATGAAGGAAGTTTTATCTTCGTGACAAGTGCCAAAATTATTTTTGGAAAAAAAAATTGCAAAAAAGTGATAATTTAGATATTTTAAGAGGATTTCCTGAAGAACACTTTATTGAGTTCATTTAATTTGTAGAAATTTAATTTGAGATGATTTGTTCCTTAGCAATTGAAGCTGAATTTATGTATTTAATTTAAAACGTCATTTCTCCATATGCAATGTTGTAATTGTAAACAAATAACATTGATGAACACATTAAAATACACATAAATAAGATAATGTAAATAAGGAGATGTCATTCATTGGTCTGTCCTAAGTCTCAAACAAATAAAATGATTAAGAGATAATAAAATTTGTATGACAAATAATTTTTCATTATTTAGCAAGCCAGGGCTGAACAAGAGGAGGAATTTATTAGTAACACCTTACTGAAGAAAATCCAGGCACTGAAGAAGGAGAAAGAGGCACTGGCCATGAATTATGAACAAGAGGAAGAATTTCTAACGAATGACCTCTCAAGAAAACTACACCAGGTATGTAAATATTGAAGTAACATTGAGCAACATATGGACTGATTCAGGTGCTGTAATACAATGCGACTTGCCAAAACCAGATGTGCATTCCAGCATGTTGTTTGCTCTGACCAAATGATTTCAGTCCTCAAATATTTCTTACACATGTTTTTCTTAAACATGCTCTAGTCCAGATGTCATCTTACCCAGTTAAACTTTTGAGAACATTGATGGGAGGTTTTATATTCATGGTTGAACAATATTATTTTTGTTTGCATGCGAATGTTAGTGTTCTGTTTTGCTCTTTACAAAAATACGAATTTAGAGTGATTTAAAATTGATAATTAAATCCAAGCACATCATGTGTAAATAAACAGCAATATAAAAATGCCATTAAATAGTTAAATGAACTTAAATCTACCCTTTTGGTAAACCCAAGGTCACTGAACTTGCAATTTACTAAAACTGAATTTATTTAAATGGCACAATAAACAAATAAGTAGACAGTCATTTTGTTATAGATTAAATCGGCCATACAATTAATCTGGTCAAGCACATGATTATGACCCTCAGTGTGACAGCTTTTAGTATTATCTTGCTAGAATACACCAATAAAAAATGGAAATTTAATAAAAGAAAATTCTTTCTGCTGTTATGAATTCAATTTATGGATAACATAGTTGAATAAACTGTTTGTATTGCAGTTGAGACAGGAGAAAGTAGAACTAGAACAAACTCTGGAGAAAGAACAGGAATACCAGGTGAACAAACTGATGAGGAAAATCGAGAAGCTGGAACGGGAGACGCTGTCTAAACAGAGCAACCTAGAACAGGTAAAGCAACATCAGTATCCAAACAGAGCAACCTAGAACAGGTAGATATCTAAACAGAACAACCTAGAACAGGTAGATATCTAATGTCTAAACACAGCAACCTAGAACAGGTAAAGCAACATCACTAATGTCTAAACAGAGCAGCCTAGAAAAAGTATAGCATTATCAATATCTAAACTGAGCAACCTAGAACAGGTAAAGCAACATCACAACCTAATGTCTAAACACAGCAACCTAGAACAGGTAAAGCAACATCACTAATGTCTAACAGGTATATAGCATTATCAATATCTAAACTGAGCAACCTAGAACAGGTAAAGCAACATCACTAATGTCTAAACAGAGAAAAAGTATAGCATTATCAATGCCTAGAACCTAAACAGGTAAAGCAACATCACTAATGCATTATCAATATCTAAACTGAGCAACCTAGAACAGGTAAAGCAACATCACTAATGTCTAAACAGAGCAGCCTAGAAAAAGTATAGCATTATCAATATCTAAACTGAGCAACCTAGAACAGGTAAAGCAACATCACTAATGTCTAAACAGAGCAGCCTAGAACAGGTATAGCAACATCAATATCTAAACTGTGCAACCTAAAACAGGTAGGTTATGTCTAAACAGAGCAATCTAGAACAGGTAGATATCCAATATCTAAACAGAACAACCTAAAACTGGTAGAGATCCAATATCCAAACAGAGAAACGTAGAACAGGTAGATATCTAAACAGAGCAACCTAGAACAGGTAGATATCTAAACAGAGCAACCTAGAACAGGTAGATATCTAAACAGAGCAATCTAGAACAGGTAGATATCTAAACTGAGCAACCTAGAACAGGTATAGCAACATCAATATCTAAACAGAGCAATCTAGAGCAGGCAGATATCTAATGTCTAAAAGCAACCTAGAACAGGTAGATATCTTATGTCTACACAAAGCAACCTAGAATAGGTAGATATCTAAACAGGGCAACCTAGAACAAGTAGATATGTAAACAGAGTAACCTAGAACAGGTATAGTAACATAAATATCTAAACAGAGCAACCTAGAACAGGTATAGCAACATCAATATCTAAACAGAACAACCTAGAACAGGTGAATTTCTAAACAGAGCAACCTAGAACAGGTATAGGAACATCAATATCAAAACAGATCAACCTAGAAGAGGTAGATATCTAAACAGAGCAACCTAGAACAGATAGGGCAACATCAATATCTAAACAGATCAATAAGAACAGGTAGATATCTAAACAGAGCAACCTAGAACAGGTAGATATCTAAACAGAGCAACCTAGAACAAGTATAGCAACATCAATATCTAAACAGAGCAACCTAGAACAGGTTTAGCAACATCAATATCTAAACAGAGCAACCTAGAACAGGTTTAGCAGCATCAATATCTAAACAGAGCAACCTAGAACAGGCAGATATCCAATGTCTAAACAGAGCAACCTAGAACAGGTATAGCAACATCAATATCTGAACAGAGCAACCTAGAACAGGTATAGCAAAATCAATATCTAAACAGAGCAACCTAGAACAGGTAGATATCTGAAGAGAGCAACCTAGAACAGGTATAGCAACATCAATATCTAAACAGAGCAACCTAGAACAGGTAATTTCTAGAGCAATCATCAATATCAAAACAGAGCAACCTAAACAGATAGCAATATCAATGTCTAGAAAAGGTATAGATAATTATAGATATCCAATGTCCAAATAGAGTGTCCTATAAGAAGTATACCAACAACATTAATGTCTAAACACAGTTTAGCAACTTAGAACAGGTATATCATCATTGTCTAAACAGAGCAACTAAGAACAGGTAGATATCCAATGTCTCATCAGAGCCACTTTGAATAATTCTTTATGAACAGTTAAGGGGGGGTGGGGGTGGTCATATTGGAAAAATGATAAGGATATTTACAGTTATTTTGAACTTAGTTGTAGAGAAGTGATATTGGAGAAATTTATGAAAAGGGCTTACATTTAAGGATACTGATAGAATAAAACTTTCTCATGCAATGCACAGTGAGGCTATAAAACAACAATGGAAATACAGATCTTGGCTGGAATATTAAGATTTTTATGATGCACTAAGAGGTTTATAAATATTGAGTGGAACTTGGACAGGTTCTTTTTGTCAGGAAAGTTCAGCTGAAGTCAGGCATTACCTGATATCAGCTGATAGGGTTGAGAGTCTTGACGTTTTTGTTTTTACAGCTTTAGATTGCCTCATATCTCTAAGAGTACACTTGGCCATTGGGCTTTGACAGGAAAAACACTTGATCATTGCATGATTTTGTTTTTGCCTGTGGCTGTGCAGTGATTAAGTGCACATTTTTTATTAAAATCTCTTGTGAACATGCATTGTAATATTAAATGTTTAAGATATTATCAAGGAAAGAAGCACAGCATAACAGGGTTTTATACAATAGGAATGGTCGTGAAAGTCTTATCAAAGAAGTTGCAGACTATATGTATAGTCATATTGTAAAATGATCTTGTATTAGTTCTTCTGTTGTGACACAGAAGGCACAAAATATTGAAATGAAATTTTATATTTCTATTTTAAATACTGTTGTGATACACCATCAGATTATGTAACAATTGAAATGCACTTAGAGAATAAATAATTGTATTGGGGTCACAAATGTCATTTGATATAACAAAGAAAGTTTAAGTTAAGAAAAAAATAATGAAAGAAAAAAACAGACACATACATCATAACAAATTCAATTTTTTTGTCTAATAGCTGAGAAGAGAGAAGGTGGAATTGGAGAATGCTCTTGAACAAGAACAGGAATCTTTGGTGAATCGCCTCTGGAAACGAATGGATAAACTGGAGACAGAGAAAAGGTTACCTCTAGTGTTGAATACCTTCTAATGCTTTATAACTTATATTGATTTATTTGACATATAGAACTTGTGCATAAATCAGTTGAATTCAAATGTCACTATATCTCTTGAGGTTTTAATTTCAAATTGTTTCTTGATGAGAGCACCCTCCATGACTTGTATGTCATGAACATTAATGATCTTTTGCACCAAATTATTGATTGTCAGAAGTAATGACCTTAAATGCATATGTGTCCGCTAAGTACATGTAATATCAAAGAAATGGCATATTGTAGTATGTACATGTACTTATTTGAAAGAAAAGTACTTGATTATAAGTATTCCAGCTAGGGAAGGGGGGCTCCACGCCCTGCCCTCAAATCATTGTGACCCTCTGCCCCTTACAAGCGCCCCTGGGTCCCTTGTTAGTTACCTGTATCATTCTGAATGTCCTTTACACTCGTTAGAATAATTAAAATAATTTATTGATAATTTAATTTTAGGTTGTTACAAGAGAAGCTGGACCAGCCTGTGACAGGACCCCCCTCCCCACGGGATATCAACAACGGGGACACAGCTCAAAACATCACTGACCACATCGCTAAACTTCGCAAGGAAGTTGTTAGTCTGAAGTCTAACCTCAGAGCAGCCCAGATTGAACGTAAGTACTATGGCTCTGTTTGTCTTTCAAAATTTATGAAGTAAAGATTTAGGGGGGGGACATTTTGTTTTTGATCAATCTGTGAGCATTTGTCTCTTCTCTAACTTTATTCTCAGCAATGATTATTTAAACTCATTATAATTGGTCAGTATTAAAGTTTTATATTAGGCTGAGGTTATATATAAGATTATGACACTGGACATTGTGTGTCACAAGTAAATTCTATTGTAGTTTCAAATATATGTCTGAAAGCAGTGTATTGATTTTTGTTTCATATATCTGATGTTTTATGTAGTGAGTTTTGTAAAGTATGAATAATATAAGACTAAAAGAAAAAAGTCTAATGATGTAATCTGAGCTTTGTTGAGCTCAAACATAGCTTTCATAATTATAAGGTTTCGTTTCTAGTTTGTAATTTTTTGTTTTGTTTGGTATATTTAATTAAAAGCATTGTACATCACCTGCAGACATGATTATATAGTATTAGGTCTTTTATGAAAGCAAGAAGAATTCTTTTTTAGATGAAGAAAAAATGGCACAGTATGCACAGGAGGAAAAACACATCAGGGAAGAAAATTTACGATTACAGAGAAAGTTACAGCTTGAGATGGAAAGGAGAGAGAACCTGTGTCGGCACTTGTCTGAAAGTGAATCCAGTCTAGAGATGGATGATGAAAGGTAGCGCTAACAATCAAATAAAGAGATGTCAGATCTCAAAATAGTCTTCAGTAGTATACAGCTTGTAAGAAGAGTTTGTTGTTCTTTATCAGATGACTGTCTCAATTAAAAACATCTGATTAAAATCAGATCTTTGTTATGATCTGATGAAATTCTGATAGTCGCTTATACAGCAACGGCCAGAATTTTTTGGGTAAAAATCTGATTTTAATCAAACTGAAGTTATAAAGAACAGTTCAGCCAAAAGGTGTGATTTGATACACAAATGAAGATTCCAATTTTGAAAGAACTCTTGTTTCAAATTTCCAGGCATTTTAATGAGATGGCTAAACATCAAGACTCCAGTCATGGTGCCAGACCTCGCACAGTTTCCAGTCCCATTCCTTACGCTTCCCAAGACACAACACGCCCCCTGTCCCCAGGTAAGTCATTCTCACCTGTAACCTAATACTTTGAGTATGACAAGGCAAATGAAAAGAAAGTTCCCAGTAGTTTTGGGTACTAACATGACTGATACACCCTGTTCTTAAAATAAATATTACAATTAAGATAATGTACATGAAAACTTTCTTTTATTTATGTGCAAGAAAAATCTCCAAGTTTCATTAACTTATTTCATTTTCTCTCACCTAAACCATTGAATCTTATAACTGTGTATTTACATGTATGTACAGTGTTGTCTAAGTCTTGAAAATTGGTAGTTAAAAATGGATTTCAAATTGATGAATTGCAAACAAAGGTAGCAAATTAAAGTAGGTTTCCAATGTGGATTTCTTTGTTTAAATAAACCAAGCTATGACAGCTCCATATTTTTCAGGAATGAATTATCCGGCATTCAGCCCTCCCAGCCCCATGAGGAGAAGTCTGGGAGGAGGGACGTCACCTTTCCATCCCCCCTCTCACCTGCCCGGGACCTCACCCCCAGTTCATGGTCACGTAGCAATGCAAACTAGCTCCAACCATCCCCACGGACATGTAAGTCAAATGTTAGGATGTACTAGTTCCATAACCTGTGAAAGTTAGTTGCTGGGTTTTTTTTCCAACTCAGGTTTCTCAAAATTATTTTGCTGTCAATATACTGCTTGCTAAGTGTTTGTCTTTTGACAATTTAAAAGTTGAGGAATTGGAGTTTGTAAAAAAAATGGTAACTAAAGAGCATATTTCATAGAGTTTTTTTTCTTCCTATTCACAATTTAAAATCTTCAAACCATCTGTATATTTTTTTGCACAAATCACTTGCTAACCAGTATCAATATATACTATATATATGGCTAGAGTCTTTCGAGAACCAAAATAAAAATATCATTAGGAGGTAATAAAACTATAGTGGAAATGGAAAAAATAAAGCTAATATGTATTTCAAGTAGGACAAGTTCAATTTCATTTTTGATAAGCTTAATATATTGATATGAGCTTTATTTAATCCATGCAGAAACATAGGCCAAGCTCTGAAAAGTTTGCCAGACCAAGTAGCTTTCCAGATCGCAGTGATAAGACATGAAGACTGTAGCACATGATGATGACGTCGTTTGCCACACAGTGCTCGGAAGAAAGCACAACAAGGCCACAGATCCCACCAAACTCCGGGGGAATTTTTCAAGCATCACCCTGACAGAGATTTGTCAGGGACTTTGATTTGTTTTATTTGAATGGTGCATTCTTGTTATTGCCATCGATATTTCAGCTTGTTAGTTGTTATGAGAGCATTTTGGATCATTCCATTTGTTGAGAGGGGGATTATCTAATGTCTTGTATTCACACGGAGCTTATAATACTGCAATGAAGGTATCTAGTCTTTTTATCACTCATGTGGGGCAGAATCCAGCTACCTTGAGTATATAATGTATTCTTCAGTTTCCCTTTTTATTAGTGAATTTTTTTTTGTCATTTACGTCACTGTATTTTTTTTTAATTAAAAAAAACGAAAGTGCTTAGTAGCATACATTGTGATGTTCTTGTATATGCATAGTCATAGATCCTTTGTAATTAATGATCGATTATGAAAGAAAAATCATTAATGAATAATTGATAAATTGTATGCAGATAAATAATTTTAATCTGAATTTTAGTCCAGTTGGTCAATTTTCTTTCATTTCAAGTATCTATGATATCAATATTAATTTATTCAACACAATTGTCTGTATATGTTCAGTGACATTATTTTAAACAAATAGTCAATTTGAAACAATTCTGGTTGGAATAGGAATAAAAGGAAGTCATTTCCCTGTGAATGTTACCATCAAACATAACAAAGGGGTTAAAATGAAGTCTAAGAAAACAATTTGCAAAAAAAAAAAAAAAAAATTACTGCCTGGCCCTACTGATTATAACACAATTTTCCAAAGCAGATGTGAAATTGGTATAAGCAATAACATACATATGAAACATACTAATGATTTACATGCACTTTACATGACAAAATGTATTGTGGGCCATTTCTTCTGCTTTGTCTTAAAAGAAAATATATTTCAAGCTTTTTTTCTGTTCACTTATGGGTTATAACAAGTAATGAATGTTAGATGTACTGAGGGAAAAAAAATGGAAAATTTTGTTTCAGAAATTTGTGTGTTATGTAAATGTTGATGATTTAGAGAACCAAGAGGTATTAATAGTTAGAATATGTAAATAGCTGGAATATAACTAGGACTGTAACATGTTATACTACTTGGCAGCTTTTTGTCTCTTTTATTATGTAGTTTTTCCCCTCAAAAGTAGGTGTTGCTTTTCTGTTGTAAGGGGCATTAACAACTTGAGTATTTTTTCTTATTATTTACCCCAGAATATTGGATGTGCGTACCACAAGTACTAAGAAATTGTATCTCCAAGAACACTTTTTTTTTTTTTACCAAAGTAGAAATTGGATTTAAGCCAATTGTCTCCTTTCCCAGAAGATTTCAACAATAAAGTAAAGAGATACTTTATTAAGTTGAAAACATTGCTAGTTTTTGTCCATTGCTTTTACTAATCTGTCCTGATTTTCATAACATTTTATAATTGTGATTTCACAAGGGAAAAAAGGCTCAGCAGTACTGTTGTATTTTTTAAATACATTTTCTAGAAATAAGCTAACTCAATGAAAATAAATATTACTGGTATTGTTAAATTGGTGTTGAACCATTTTGCACAAAATGTACTTAATACAGAAATAGTACAGTATATCATCAGAATTTGTAAGCTTTTTATACAGGTCTTTGCTGCTTTTAGTTATGCACTGTAGGTTGACAAGGGCAGATAATTTTAAATGGACTTCCTGTACATGTATATACAAAACCATATCATGGTGTGTAATTAATTTTATTAAGGTTTTAGTATTTTATTTTTGTAATTATTTGCAAATTACATGTAGTATTGATTAGTGAATTCCTTATTAAAGATACTCAAGACACAAGATTATTACATTCAAATATCAGAGAGGTTGACCTTGTATTTATCAGTACATTTTTGAATGAAATGGAACTTTTGTCAGAAACAACAGCCATCAACTTCGTTTTGGATGCCATCTTGAAAAAAATTATACAATAGTGATAATGCTTTAAAAGTTGAATGTCATATGAAGTCTGTTCTTTAAAACTTTTCATTGATACATTTATTCTTTCATTTGTCCAAAGGAGTCAATTACTTTTTTTTCTATAAATACACATTTTAGAAATGTCTTTGTTTTTTCAATTCAAATATACAAAATAGATTTAAAAGTATTACAGGTCTGAAAACTCTAGATAACTATTTATCTTATTGATTTCATGCTCATTATCTTCATTATTTTGATCAGCACATTGCTGTGTAGAATATACTTGCATTGAACTTTGCTGAACACTGCAGCTTAATTGCCAGGAAAGAAAAATACACCAATCCTTGCTTCTTCCATTTAAAAGTACCGTTTCATGTTTTTATATCTGACATTCATTGTTTATATTTTGTCAGAGATTTTGTGGAATGTAACGTTCTCTGATACAAGTAAGGTTTATAGTGCATGAAATTGGAATGTTTTAAGAAAAAAAAATCTCCTAGTCATAAGAACAGGTACATCATTATAGCGTGATCAGCGTATCATATCATATAATATGGTGCTGGAGGTGCCAGAAGGGAAAAAATATTTGTTTTTAGTATGGTTCATCTGTTTGTTGTTAATTGTAACACAGGATTATGTGCTTTTATTTTATTTCCAGTATTGGACATAATTTTTGCAAAATGTGATACAAGTTAATTGTTAGCATGAATGCATTTACATGTGATATGCTGCTTTGTGTGTAAACATGGGAATAAATGTCTTCAGCTGTATCTATTAATGAGTGTTCTTTTTTTTAATAACAATGTGAGGATCATCATTTTGCCAGGTAATAAAAGATGCTTTCAAGTCATACTGACACCCATAAAACAAGAGGCCCATGGGCCACATTGCTCACCTGAGAAGCTTTGGCCATTCTGTTCTTTACCAGATTTTCCCCTTGTAATACATATTGTGACCCCATCCTACCCCACTGATCATAATTTAAACAATTTGAAATCTACACTACCCCAGTATGCTTCCACATAAGTTTAAGCTTTTCTGGCCCAGTGGTTCTTGAGAAGAAGATTTTCAAAGATTTTTCCAATATACTCCTATGTAAAACTTTGATGGGCAATTGTGGCCCCACCCTACCCCCCGGGGTCATGATTAGAACAATTTAGAATCTACACTACCACAGGATCTTCCACATAAGTTTCAGCTTTTCTGGCCCAGTGGTTCTTGAGAAAAAGATTTTTTGAAGATTTTTCTATATATTTCTATGTAAAACTGATTCCCCATTGTTGCCCCACCCTACCCCTGGGGGTCATGATTAGAACAATTTAGAATTGACACTACCCCAAGATGCTTCCACATAAGTTTCAGCTTACCTGACCCAGTGGTTCTTGAGAAGAAAATTTTCAAAGATTTTTCCTATATATTTCTATGTAAAACTTTGATTCCCCATTGTGCCCCGCCCAAGCCCCGGGGGTCATGATTTGAACAATTTAGAATCTACACTACCCCAGGATGTTTCCACATAAGTTTCAGCTTTTCTGGCCCAGTGGTTCTTGAGAAGAAGATTTTCAAAGATTTTTCCTATATATTTCTATGTAAAACATTGATTCCCCATTGTGGCCCCGCCCTACCCCAGTATGCTTCCACATAAGTTTCAGCTTTACTGACCCAGTGGTTCTTGAGAAGAAGATTTTTAAAGATGTTTTCTATATATTTCTCCGTGTAAAACTTTGATTCCCCATTGTGGCCCCGCCCTACCCCGGGGGTTCATGATTTGAACAATTTAGAATCTACACTACCCCAGGATGCTTCCACATAAGTTTCAGCTTTAGTGGCCCAGTGGTTCTTGAGAAGAAGATTTTTAATGAGACCCTTTTTCCTATATATTTCTATGTAAACTTTATATTCCCCTTCACCCAAGGATGCTTTGTACCAAGTTTGGTCAAAATTGGCCCACTGGTTCTCAGAAGATTTGAAATGTGAAAAGTTTACAGAATCTTCACAGCCAGGATGCTTCGCGGACAAAATGTTTCACTTGCCTTTAGTGGCCCTCCCTTTCTCTTAAGCTTAAGATGTTTTAATGATTTACCTCTCTTGATATTTTTGCTTTAAAATCCAATCTTTATTTTTTTTATTCAAAAATATAATATACAGATACAAAAAACATTCCCTTAGTATATGAAAAGATGTACAATAATGTAGACACTGAGCTTTCTCTTGCCTTATTACAAATTTAACAAGTTAACTTTGATTCTGCTGTGAATATATATGGCAGGATGCTATCCTTACGAGTTAGTACTGCACGGTCCACTGAATTCTGGTCAAGCACTGTGTCCATCATTTTGTAATAACAACGTACTCAAGCAATATCCATTAAATGTGAGTTAAGCTGTTTAGTGTGTCCATCACTGTGTTGATAAGAGTTACTCAGCACAGTGCACTGAATCCTATAAGTTAAGATATTTAGTGTGTCCAACTGTCCATCACTTTATTATAACAATGTACTCAGCACAGTTCATTGAATTCTGTGAGGTAAGCTGTTTAGTGTGTCCATCACTTTCTGATAACAATGTACTCAGCACAGTCCATTGAATTCTGTGAGTTAAGCTCTTTAGTGTGTCCATCGCTTGCAGTCCAAACCTTAATCTCTGCCTTTCTCTTTGTTTGCTGTCAGAAACAAAATTGATGGCAGTCTGTCTGTATTTAACAAATCTCTATTATATTTTTGCTTTAAAATCCAGTCTTTAAGAAATTTTTTTTATTTAAAAATATAATATACAGATACAAAAAACATTCAGAAAAAATAACTTAGTATATGAAAAGATGTAAAATAATGTAGTAGCACTGAGCTTTCTGTGAAATGCCTTATTACAAATTTAACAGAGTTAACTTTGATTGATCTGCTGTGAATATGTCAGGAGTTATCCTTTACCATCCATGAGTTATGTACTCAGCACGCACTGAATTCTGGAGTCAAGCTATTTACTGTGTCCATCATTTTGTAATAACAACGTACTCAAGCAATATCCATTAAATTCTGTGAGTTAAGCTGTTTAGTGTGTCCATCACTGTGTTGATAAGAGTTACTCAGCACAGTGCACTGAATCCTACACGTTAAGATATTTAGTGTGTCCAACTGTCCATCACTTTATCATAACAATGTACTCGGCACAGTTCATTGAATTCTGTGAGGTAAGCTGTTTAGTGTGTCCATCACTTTCTGATAACAATGTACTCAGCACAGTCCATTGAATTCTGTGAGTTAAGCTCTTTAGTGTGTCCATCGCTTGCAGCCCAAACCTTAATCTCTGCACTATTGTTGAAGGATACTTGTTTGCTGTCAAAGAAACAAAATTGATGGCAGTCTGTCTGTAAAGATAACAAATCATGAGGGATCAAAAAAATATTAATAAAATCTTAATAAATGAAAAAAGGTTAACATATTTTCACAGATTAGAAGGAGTTTGCAGAGCTAAAATGTATCTTACCTTTATTTTCAGGTTCTAGCTGATCTCTTTGGACTCTCACAGAAACATGGCGAGCTGCTTTTGGAAACAGGATCAATGCCAGCATAAACCCCTACCTATTAACAAAAAAAGAAACTAGAAATTCAAGAAATGCGAGTGTCATAATCTCATTTAATTCATATATCACACGGTCTCGAGCTTGACATACAACTGACTTACCAAAGATTTCAGGTTAGACAGTAGTTAGTCCTTCATCTCCAGTCTTGTTAACAAGTTGAGGTCAGTCTCATCTTCTGCCTGTTAAAGAAAAATCTAAAGATCATTGAAAATAATGAAGGAGACCTTGTGCCAAAATGTTCACCTGAATCATCTTGACCTTGTCATCAGAAGAAAAAAAAAATCTTAATTCATATTTTTACTAATCCTAGTCCAAAGGGATCATGATGTAACCTAATCTGAATCGAGACATCCTCAGGATGCTTTAGATTGCAACATGGTTGCTGTTGTGCTGCAGAAGTAAATCACCCTGAACCTATGATTTGAATAAGTGTATAAAGAAAATTTGAAAATTGCGAAAAAAAACGCAGTATAGTTAAGAATTAAGTAAGGAGGCGGGGCCTAATTTGTACAGGAAATGTTTACTATGACGTCACATATAATATAAGGTCTTCAAAATACCACAAAATGAAATTATTTGCTATTTCAAATAGTTGGATAGCTATATACTACATACAAACTTACTATTACATGCAGTTTTGTCGTTTGTTAAATCCCACACAACTATATAAACGATGCATCGATCACAATGCACTTGTCAAAGTGACGTCATCTCACAAAAATGATGCAGTTTGTACACAGTGAGAGGCTGATCAAGTCACATTTTGTACAATGAAAAATGTCTTTTGTTCTCAAATAAAATATTATTTGCAATCAAATAAAAGGTCGTTAACTTGGATGCGATGTCTATTTTAGTATATTTTATTTATAAACTGTCCGTACATTCTCGAGACAAGTGATAATGTCGTGTGTTTGTATGCAAATTCATTGAAAAAGTAATGGAAGGCCCTAAAAATCGATTTATTGCAAGGGCATACCCTCAATGTATCTTGTCAAGTTTTTACACATAAACTCAAGAAGCATTAAGATATTTGAAAAGTGCTGCGAACCTCATGAAATCTTGCAAATAAATTAATTATAGCTATATTTAATGTAATTGACCAGCAAAATATTCAACCTGCCGTCCAACAAATTAAATTTTAGCAATTAAAAAAAGGAATCTATACAGGTTCGCAGCACTTTTCACAATCTACATATAGTGTTGAAAAGGATTATAAATTAAACTAAGATTTTTAACTTGGTTATGCCCTTGCAATATTGGAATTTATAGATGACCTCTAAACTGCAAGTATAATTGCTAAAATCATGTGACGTCGATATCACGTGACAAGTCTTAATAAAAAATCTAAATGTCCCCAAGATGTAGATTTAAACCACATTACATTTTTTTTTATATCAGCGAAGTCCTAAAATGAATCGCCCATGCAAATAAAGTATGTATTTTTTTTCTTTAAAAATCGCCGATATTTCCATTTGTAACCTTAACTGTGCTGCGAAGAGCTTTTTACTCACTCCATTATCAGATATTGGCTGCTGGACAAAGCTTGGCAATGGACTCTTCTTCTTCTCTTGGTCAGCACTGGTCTTCTTCCTTCTTCCCTTGTCAAATCCCTTTAAAATACTTGATGGAGAGAAGATAAGCAATAATTCAAAGCAATGTAATAATCAAAGAAACTCAAATGATCATAATCATTACAACATTATTAGCTGGAAAATCAAAGAGCAAATTAAGACAATAAGGTTATGATAGGAATAAGGTGGATTATTGGGGCAAGGAGAGGAATGCATAGTTACTTTAGAGAAGGGAGGACAAAAATACGTCAGAAATAAATAAACAAAAATACTTGTAAGACTCCTGCTTGTTAAAGTGGGTCCTGATGAAGTTCCATAGGTAAAAAAAGTACAAATATTCTCCTCATGGCTGCAGTGGAATGGGAGAGGGACTCTTCCTCACTTAGAATTCCTAGTCAGTCTTAACTTTCTTCTGCTTAAAAAGATAAAACAGAGACATAAAAGGGGAAACACTTTCACTTCATATCAAGTGAGAAGCTTCAGTAAAAAGCAGCTTGTTGCTTACCACTTTTGAAACACAATGCCTTCAAAACACAGACAGGAATAGACTCTTCTTATATTAATGACCTTGGTCCTCCATTGTTGTTCCTCTTCTGAATTAAAGAGGAACTGAAATCTGTCGAAAGTCCAGAGGTTAAAGCTTGGTACAGCCAACATCAATTGGCAAGCAAAGATACAAGAAGTCAAGTCTGAATCTTACTCTGCTTTCTGCTGATGTCTGCAGTTCAATGGGAGAGGGAGTCTTCCTCACTTCAGGATCCTGTTCAACCCTAACATTATTCTGCTTAAAAAGATAAAAACAGACACCAAAAGGGGATCATTGGCACTTCATACCAAGTGAGAAGATTTCTAAAATAAACAAGTGGCCAATAGGCGATATGCTCACCTAAGCATATTGGCTAGTAAATGCACAAATTAGTCCAGTATTGAAAAGTATAAATTTTAGAATAACTACCTTGAGACATTTTCATATCAATAACAATGGCTTAGCTGTTCTTGAACATAAGATTTTTTTTCTATATATTCCTTTGTTAAAATTTTATCCCCATTGATGCCCCTCCCTGCCCCCTGGAATCAAGATTTGGACAAATGTGAATCTACACTACCTAAGGATGCTACCATATCAATATGACTATATATGGCTTTGGTATTATTGAGAGGACGTTTCCTATATATTCCCCTGTCCATTTTGATCCACCATTGGGGCTCTGCCCTACACATGGGAGTCATGATTTGAACAAACTTAAATCTACACTACATGAGGATGCTAGCGTATACATATCACCAGTCATGACATTTTTATTTCTGAAATTTCTAAAGATACCGTATAAGTAGAAATTTTAGCGAAGATTTAATTTTGGCATTATTAGCGAGGCTGTTGAGGAGATCGCTAAAATTAAATATCGCTCAAAATAAATCGCATGTTATTTGTACTAGCTTCTTTAGTGAGCATTTTAAAATCGCTAAAATTACTTCTAGCTAAAAATAAAATACCAGTTTTTAAGGAGAAATCGCTAAATTTGCGTCTCGCTAAAATTTCCACTTATACGGTATTTCCAATATAATCCAACGTAAAACTTTGATTGTCCATTGTGGCCCAAACCTTTCCCCGGTAGACATGATTTGAACAAAATGAAATCTTCACTACCAAAAAGGATGATTTGATATCAATATGACTAATTGTGGCTTGAGAAAAAAAAATTATGTATATCCCTGGGTACATACTGTAGATTCCTAAATATATGCGTGGAAGTAATTATCGCGTAATTTCGCAACACAAAATTAAATTACTCGCCTTTATTTTTATGGAGCTGAAATCTATGTAAAATCTTTAAACCAACCATCCATTCGAATTATTATTCTCGTGATTTGAGAGTGAAAAGCCTATTCCCGATAATATTTACACGCGAAAAATAAGAAATTTACAGTATAATATATATTTTTGATCCCCTATTCTGACCCACTTGATTTGACTTTGAATCTACACTACCTGAGGATGATGCCACATAAGTGTCTCTTTCCTGTCTCAGTAGTTCTTGAAAAGAAGATTTTTAAAAGATGTCCTTAATTTTTCACTTATTTGTAGTAATCTTCCATTTGAAGAGGGAGTGGGCCTTCATTTGAATAAACTTAAATCCCATAATGGCATTTATCCAAGGATACTCTTTGCCAAGTTTCCTTGAATTTTGACGAAGATGAAAATGTGAAATTTTACAAAAAAGATGACAAAGACATAAAATGAACAAAGGTTCACTTCTTTTAAAAACCAGCACTTATATCAATTGATTCTTCTACTAAATAGGAGTTGTGATCAGTTTTCTTTCCTAGATAAGATGTTTACCAATGCTTTTGAGACTCATCTTCCCGTGCGCCCTTGCGAACTTAGCCTGGGACCAAATGGTACCCAGTATCCGTCTGCTTCCACGTGGAGGCATCGCATAGGACTTGTTGTGGAGAGGCTATGTTCTGGCAGGGGAAGACATAAAAATTCCTTCCCTTTTCACATTGCTGCTAGCCAGCGGTGATGGATGAAAGCGAGAGGTGACAAGCACACACACACTAACACCAACACACTAGACGCATCACACAACATTTAGCAGACGTTAGTAGTTTTAGTAGCTTGTTACTTGTGCAGGGTTCTCCATCGTTTGAAATTTTACTGTGTTGCAGAGTTTACGCAAAGCACTAAAATTTCACGGTATTTTAGCGATCAAATTTGCAACTGAATCACTATTCATTATAATTACTTAAGAATACATGCACACACTTCTAAAAAAAAAATTGCTAATTTGTTACAAAAATAGCATGGTCGAACATATTGGCACATATTGTGAAATGCAGAGGAAATTCTTGTCGATAAAGTTAAACTACTTACAATTTTTTAAACAAATTTGTTTTTTTGTCAATTTTCTTGATCAAATTAAGTAATTACAAAAAAAAGAAAATTATAACTTTTAAAGCCATATATGGCGTATGTCAGTGTTTTCAAAAAGAGCCTGCAACCGGCAAAATTAACCGCCTGAACGAGAAATTTTGCCGGCTATGAAATTTTCGTAATTAGGATTATGCCGAGGCTGATACGTGAAATCCATTGATTTTATCGCAACTATTTCCATGATCTAGAGTAACTTCCCTTGAGTGAGCTCTTTTTTCAAGGAAGTGTGATTAGAGTGTCTTGTAATGGCATCGCGGACAACAAATATTGAGCGAAGTCGTGGAGAAACGTGCTGCTGCTGTAACACATGCGTTTGAAATCATGTACATTAAGAAGCATAAAGAATGGTCCCTTCCGAAAAGATATGTTTGTGTTTTATAATTTTCAATTGAAAACTGATTGTGCGGCAGCCTCAATATTAAGTGAGGGGTTCCCAGGTGAAACAACAGCGAATATCTATATGTAGGCAAATATAATTTTAAGACCTTACGAAAAAATGTATGACTTTTTTACAGAATTTCCTCAAACTGAAAATCTCAAATGTTAAGCTAAGACGTAAAAATTACGAATAAAAGTCTTAATATTTTAATCATCACTCAGACGTAGAAATTCTTACAGAATTTCCTCAAACTGAAAATGTAAAATTTTATTCTCATTTATTTGTGTAAGATCTCTTGAAATACAGAAACAGTATCATTTTCACATTTGGGAAGATTTTAATGTACTAGTATTTTGTTTCAAATTCCATTTTCTTCATTATTTTAATTGTTCTGACAATTTGTACAAAATGTCAAAAAAGTAAATAAGTTTAAAGATTAATTTATGAAAAGTCTAATATTGCAGAATATTTCAATTTCGGGGGAGGGGTACTGTACATCACCAAGTGTTTAAAAAATCTTCAATTTTTAACTAAATAATTTTTTTTTTTAATTTTGAATAAAAGTCCTGTACATTTTATGTGAAAAGGACCTAACTATATAGAATTTTCAGAATCATATTCTACCACAGACAATTGTCTGTACTAGAATTTCATACTTAAAATGTGTCTCTATGTTTTTTAGACACATGGTTTTCAGAAGAAAAAAAACCTCAGTCTGTCCAAAATCTGTCAAACAAATCTGTGAAAAGGTAAAAATTGTTTTCTAATTGGCTTTTTTAGGTAAAATTTGATAATTGATAGTGACAATTTATTGTGAAAAAATTGTACTTTTTTATGTCTTGAGAGGTAAGAAAAATGAGTCAAAAATGCTGATTTTTGTTTTCGGCCGGGGGGCTTTGCCCCCCTGGGCCCCCTACCAGGGCTCTGCCCTGGACCCAGACCCCAGACCCCTTGCCAAGAATGGTTTTCTGCTATTTCATCTATTTTTCCTTCTATTGAAAATCTTATTGAAAACTCTGTATGTACAATGAAAATTATTGGACTAAAATTATAAGAACTTATTATTTGTATCATTACTTTATATAAAGATAGAACTTTTCCGTAAATTACAAAATCTAAAGCAATTGCGTTATAAAGATATCACAATTTAATTTGGATTCTTTTTCTCCTAACTAAAAGATTTAAATAACACATTACAGAGAAGATAAAATCTATTATTAGATGAAACGAGGTGTTCTAAGTGTTCAGAATTGTATGAAAAGCTTTAATTTAATTGTATCAACTATATTTCTTTACTTAATTTTGTATTTTTCAAAAATATATTTTTTTGATCAGTTACGCCATATATGGCTTTAAAAGTTCCTTGAAAATTTAAAACTATTTATTTACATCAAGTAAATGATTTCGGTACAGTGTTATGTTTGATTTACATTGCCAACATACTGTAAATCACTTTTTATTTGTGTGAACTTTATTTTCGTGTAATTACGCAAGATAGTGTGCTAGCCAAAATTTAATTCTCGCGTATAATAGTATTCCTTAAAATTATATAGAGCAATGACCACAATTCGTGAAATTTTGTCTCGCTTATCAAGAGTCAATGACTATCTCGCAAAATAAGGTGTCGCGAAAATTTAGTGATCTACAGTAATTCTAGAGCCATTGCTCTATAGAAAAGACATTTAAATATATTTCTAAAAATAATACAATGTACTTTAATTGCAACTACTAGTACCAATTAACCGTTACATGGAAGTATGAAAACCAATTATTTGCCTTTGTTCTTTCATGCATAAAGTCTGGCTAGGGTGTAGGAAATAATTGATTCCGCAAGGTGAAACCGTAATTAAGTGCTCTAGATATCTTTTAGAATTGAAAGACGGTAGAATTGTTTGATTAATAATGTTTCAGATACAGAGAATTTGTATGTTTCGATTTTCTTATTATCACAGATCTTACTGTGTTGGCAAAATTTTTCCTGTTCACACAGATAAAATTTGAATCATTACTGTGTCAGAGAACATTTTTCTGTGTCGGGACCAACACAGTAAAACAGCTCATGGAGAACCCTGCTTGTTAGGGTGTTAATCATGCAAACCTATCCACCACAAGCACTAATCATGCACTAACTAACAAATACCTTAATTACAATAATAACCTACACTCCTACAGAACTCTAAGCTGTCTAACCAACAACTAAAGCCTACTTACTGACTCAAACTACAACACCAAACTAAACCTAACACTAAGAAACACCATGGTAATGCTACTTACAACTACTATACACTTCTTACCTTCCAACTGCAGCAGGAAACACTCCAGACTGACCGTCAAAGGTGGCCGTGACGCGAACAACCGATGGGACCCATAAACACGAAGGACCACATAGACCCCTAATGATAAATATCAGAAATGTTAGTACTCAGTAGGTGTGTCAAAATAATAATAAAACAAACTTACCTCTGCTATTCTCTAACTTTTAAGAAATACCTCCATTCCAGCATTGTTGGCATGTTGTTTCAATCCAATATGTCCAGCTTCCTCCAAATGCTTATTCCACCATCTTCAACGATGCAGAGTCAGCAACCTCCTTATTCAACCACTACACTACCTAACAATAAATCCACACGAGTTTCATCTTTCCTTGCAAACTGATTTGAGACTTTTCACAAATTGAAATAGGCATCCTTCCTCATCATTAATACCGGTATGTACATAATTTATTGGTTTAATACCCAGCAGCAGAGGAGGAGATTTTTAAAGAATATATGCATTTTCACTATATAATCAATAGAGCCCCGCCCTTACACCAGAACCGTCGACCCAGGGGCTATGAAATTCACAATTTTGGAAGAGGCAGCCTTATTCAATATAACTATGTACTTGGTTAGTTTATTTCATACCCAGGAGCAGAGTACAAGATTTTAATGAATTAATGTATTTTCACTATATAATCAATAGAGCCCTGCCCTAACTCCAAAACACTCAACACAGAGGCCATAAAATTCACAATTTTGAAAGAGGCATTCTAGCTCATCATAACTATGTACTTAGTTTGTTTAATACCCAGTAGTAGAGAAGATTTTCAAAAAATTATGCCTTTTCACTAAATAATCAATAGAGCCCCACCCTAACACCAGATTCCCTGACCCAGGGTCCATGAGATTCACAATTTTGGAAGAGACTTTCTTGCTCATCATAACTATGTACATGATTAGTTTGTTATCCAGGAGAAGAGAAGATTTTCAAAGAAAAAATGCAATTTCACTACTGTATACAGGGAAATGTTTGCCCCCGTTTTATCTTCTCCCCATCTGCCCTACACACATGAGGGTGAATTTAAAACGGGGTTGAATTTATAAAACACAGAATGATTTCTTAGAAAGAATTGTAACTGGGCAAATATAAAACTGGGCAAAATATTTTCTATGTGTGAAAGGGCGAAAATAACATGGAGCGAAAATAACCCTGTATAAAGTGTATATCAAACAAACTTCACCCTTACAACAGAACCCCTGACCCTGGGACCAAATGAAATTCGCAATTTTGAAAGAGGCAGCCTTATTCAACATAATTATGTACCTGGTTAGTTTATCTATTGCCCATGAGTAGAGAAGAAGATTTTTAAAGAAATAATGCACTTTTTTCACTATTTAATTGATTTATCCCCGCCCTTACACAAGAACCCCTGATCAAGGGGCCATGAATTTCACATTTTTGGTAGAGGACTCAAAGTTGATTACAATCATGCAAACAGTCTGCTTAATAAGTCCAGGAATAAATAAGAAGATTTTTAAAGATTGTCCCACCCCTCAGGCCTGGGGGGGGGGGGAGACCATGAAATTCACAATTTTTCTTCCCATTCACCCATAAATGCTTAATCCCAAAACTGGTTGAAATTGGTTGAGCGGTTAAAGAAGAAGCTGAAATTAAAAGTGAGGTAAAGCCTAACAAAGCCAACATCAATTGGAAAGCAAGAATATTGGGAAAAGGTGCAAAGAGATCGGGTATGAATCTTACCGCACTTTCTGCTCATGAATGCTGTTAAATGGGAGAGGGACTGTTCCTCACTTCAGGATCCTGGTCAGCCTAAACTTTCTTCTGCTTAAAAAGAGAAAACAAACACATCAAAGGGGAATCACTCTCATTCCCTAACAAGTGACAAACTTCATTTAAATAAGAAATTTGTTACTCACCACTTTGGGCCATGTTGGCTGCTGTATAGAGATGGGAAATGGACTCGTCATCTCGTCTCCTTCTGTTGGTCGACCTTGCTCCTCCATCGTTGTTCCTCTTCAAGAGTCCCTGAAAGTATAAAACTGGCACAATGTTAGTAAAACTTCAAAACAATGCAACAAATCACGAAAAGTTACTTACCACTTTGGGCCATGTTGGCTGCTGTGTAGAGATGGGAAATGGACTCGTCATCTTGTCTCCTTCTGTTGGTCGACCTTGCTCCTCCATCGTTGTTCCTCTTCCGAGTCCCTGAAAGTATAAAACTGGCACAATGTTAGTAAAACTTCAAAACAATGCAACAAATCACGAAAAGTTACTTACCACTTTGGGCCATGTTGGCTGCTGTGTAGAGATGGGAAAAGGACTCGTCATCTCGTCTCCTTCTGTTGGTCAACCTTGCTCCTCCATCGTTGTTCCTCTTCTGAAACCCTGAAAGTATAAAACTGGCACAATGTTAGTAAAACTTCAAAACAATGCAACAAATCACGAAAAGTTACTTACCACTTTGGGCCATGTTGGCTGCTGTATAGAGATGGGAAATGGACTCGTCATCTCGTCTCCTTCTGTTGGTCGACCTTGCTCCTCCATCGTTGTTCCTCTTCCGAGTCCCTGAAAGTATAAAACTGGCACAATGTTAGTAAAACTTCAAAACAATGCAACAAATCACGAAAAGTTACTTACCACTTTGGGCCATGTTGGCTGCTGTAAGAGATGGGAAATGGACTCGTCATCTCGTCTCCTTCTGTTGGTCTACCTTGCTCCTCCATCGTTGTTCCTCTTCCGAATCCCTGAAAGTATAAAACTGGCACAATGTTAGTAAAACTTCAAAACAATGCAACAAATCACGAAAAGTTACTTACCACTTTGGGCCATGTTGGCTGCTGTGTAGAGATGGGAAATGGACTCGTCATCTCGTCTCCTTCTGTTGGTCGACCTTGCTCCTCCATCGTTGTTCCTCTTCCGAGTCCCTGAAAGTATAAAACTGGCACAATGTTAGTAAAACTTCAAAACAATGCAACAAATCACGAAAAGTTACTTACCACTTTGGGCCATGTTGGCTGCTGTGTAGAGATGGGAAATGGACTCGTCATCTCGTCTCCTTCTGTTGGTCGACCTTGCTCCTCCATCGTTGTTCCTCTTCCGAGTCCCTGAAAGTATAAAACTGGCACAATGTTAGTAAAACTTCAAAACAATGCAACAAATCACGAAAAGTTACTTACCACTTTGGGCCATGTTGGCTGCTGTGTAGAGATGGGAAATGGACTCGTCATCTCGTCTCCTTCTGTTGGTCGACCTTGCTCCTCCATCGTTGTTCCTCTTCCAAGTCCCTGAAAGTATAAAACTGGCACAATGTTAGTAAAACTTCAAAACAATGCAACAAATCACGAAAAGTTACTTACCACTTTGGGCCATGTTGGCTGCTGTATAGAGATGGGAAATGGACTCGTCATCTCGTCTCCTTCTGTTGGTCGACCTTGCTCCTCCATCGTTGTTCCTCTTCCGAGTCCCTGAAAGTATAAAACTGGCACAATGTTAGTAAAACTTCAAAACAATGCAACAAATCACGAAAAGTTACTTACCACTTTGGGCCATGTTGGCTGCTGTGTAGAGATGGGAAATGGACTCGTCATCTCGTCTCCTTCTGTTGGTTGACCTTGCTCCTCCATCGTTGTTCCTCTTCCGAGTCCCTGAAAGTATAAAACTGGCACAATGTTAGTAAAACTTCAAAACAATGCAACAAATCACGAAAAGTTACTTACCACTTTGGGCCATGTTGGCTGCTGTGTAGAGATGGGAAATGGACTCGTCATCTCGTCTCCTTCTGTTGGTCGACCTTGCTCCTCCATCGTTGTTCCTCTTCCGAGTCCCTGAAAGTATAAAACTGGCACAATGTTAGTAAAACTTCAAAACAATGCAACAAATCACGAAAAGTTACTTACCACTTTGGGCCATGTTGGCTGCTGTATAGAGATGGGAAATGGACTCGTCATCTCGTCTCCTTCTGTTGGTCGACCTTGCTCCTCCATCGTTGTTCCTCTTCTGAAACCCTGAAAGTATAAAACTGGCACAATGTTAGTAAAACTTCAAAACAATGCAACAAATCACGAAAAGTTACTTACCACTTTGGGCCATGTTGGCTGCTGTATAGAGATGGGAAATGGACTCGTCATCTCGTCTCCTTCTGTTGGTCGACCTTGCTCCTCCATCGTTGTTCCTCTTCCGAGTCCCTGAAAGTATAAAACTGGCACAATGTTAGTAAAACTTCAAAACAATGCAACAAATCACGAAAAGTTACTTACCACTTTGGGCCATGTTGGCTGCTGTAAAGAGATGGGAAATGGACTCGTCATCTCGTCTCCTTCTGTTGGTCGACCTTGCTCCTCCATCGTTGTTCCTCTTCCGAGTCCCTGAAAGTATAAAACTGGCACAATGTTAGTAAAACTTCAAAACAATGCAACAAATCACGAAAAGTTACTTACCACTTTGGGCCATGTTGGCTGCTGTGTAGAGATGGGAAATGGACTCGTCATCTCGTCTCCTTCTGTTGGTTGACCTTGCTCCTCCATCGTTGTTCCTCTTCTGAAACCCTGAAAGTATAAAACTGGCACAATGTTAGTAAAACTTCAAAACAATGCAACAAATCACGAAAAGTTACTTACCACTTTGGGCCATGTTGGCTGCTGTGTAGAGATGGGAAATGGACTCGTCATCTCGTCTCCTTCTGTTGGTCGACCCTGCTCCTCCATCGTTGTTCCTCTTCCGAGTCCCTGAAAGTATAAAACTGGCACAATGTTAGTAAAACTTCAAAACAATGCAACAAATCACGAAAAGTTACTTACCACTTTGGGCCATGTTGGCTGCTGTGTAGAGATGGGAAATGGACTCGTCATCTCGTCTCCCTCTGTTGGTCGACCCTGCTCCTCCATCGTTGTTCCTCTTCCGAAACCCTGAAAGTATAAAACTGGCACAATGTTAGTAAAACTTCAAAACAATGCAACAAATCACGAAAAGTTACTTACCACTTTGGGCCATGTTGGCTGCTGTGTAGAGATGGGAAGTGGACTCGTCATCTCGTCTCCTTCTGTTGATCGACCTTGCTCCTCCTTCGTTGTTCCTCTTCCGAGTCCCTGAAAGTATAAAACTGGCACAATGTTAGTAAAACTTCAAAACAATGCAACAAATCACGAAGAGTTAATTACCACTTTGGGCCATGTTGGCTGCTGTATAGAGATGGGAAATGGACTCGTCATCTCGTCTCCTTCTGTTGGTTGACCCTGCTCCTCCATCGTTGTTCCTCTTCCGAGTCCCTGAAAGTATAAAACTGGCACAATGTTAGTAAAACTTCAAAACAATGCAACAAATCACGAAAAGTTACTTACCACTTTGGGCCATGTTGGCTGCTGTGTAGAGATGGGAAATGGACTCGTCATCTCGTCTCCTTCTGTTGGTCGACCCTGCTCCTCCATCCTTGTTCCTCTTCTGAGTCCCTGAAAGTATAAAACTGGCACAATGTTAGTAAAACTTCAAAACAATGCAACAAACCACAAAAATTCACGTGAATAAAATCAGTACAACACAATTCATTGAAAAATCAGAAAACATTGACTAAATTCAGGAAGACGAATGAGAGGGAAAGGGAAGGTGATGGTGAGTAATGTTAGAGTCAGCAGGGAGCAGAGGAAAGAATGGAGAAAATCAAAAATACTTCCACATAAGCTTCCTTTGCTGTTGCTGTGGCTCCTGGTGATGTTTCTTCTGAACTGTCTCAGTATCTCTGCTTCCTGTCAATTCAAAATCAAGAGGTCAAAGCCTGACAAAGCCAACACCAAATTGGAAAGCCAAAATATTGGGAAAAGGTGCAAAGAGGTCAAGTATGAATCATACCCCCACTTTCAGCTCATGAATGCTGTTAAACAGGAGAGGGAATACAGACACATCAAAGGAGAGACACTCTCATTTCATATCAAGTATGAAACTTCATTTAAAAGCATAGATAATCAAAGATTATGAAGCTCACCTCGATGAATGTTATCTGTTTAAGTAATCCAAAATTCACATCATATTTCCTTAACAGTTAGTATTTATCCTGACAACAATATTCAAGCAAATTCTGTTTTAATAGGTTTTAAAATTCATTGAGGATTGACGTTTTCCAAATACTTGCACCTGGTCACTCGTTTGAAAAATGCAGGTCAGATCCAGCATCTGAAGCAAGTTTCAAATGTCCATCTTTAGATGCATCATCCATGCAAGTTTGGTCAGGGTAGGGCTGAGTTGGGAATAATTTCATCACTCATCTGGAAAATGTAGGTCAGATCAAGCATCTGAAGCAAGTCTGGTAGTGTCCATTTCTAGATGCATCATCCATGCTTGTTTGGATCAGGTAGGACTTACAGTTTCTTGGAAATGGACCTGCTCCAAAAACCTTAACCTGGTCACTCATCTGGAAAATATAGGTCAGATCCAGCATCCGAAGCAAGTCTGGTAGTGTCCATTCCTAAATGCATCATCCATGCAATTTGGTCCAGATACAACTTATACTTACTTGAACATGGACTTGCTCCTAAAACTCTACCAGGGCACTAATGCTATCCTTGAGGTTGGTGTCAGGGTATAGCATAACTACATCTTGACTTTGCTAAGGTAAGTTCAAGTTCAAAATAAAGCTTCAAGGTAAAAAAAATTGTTGCATTTGAATAACCTTTATATCTCTAAGGCCACACCAATTTAATTTCTTGTTCGTCGGGCATTTGATGAAAAAAAGTACGAGCAGGCAAGCGGTTAAATAATATTATTACTTTTTGTAGGCGACATTTTTAGGCGGATCAAGAAAAAAATTGAGCGGACAATTAATTTTTTTTTCATTATTTTCAGAGTAAGCCGATTAAGAATACGATACATAGAGCGGAAATAAAACAGAAAAATAGCACAGAATCTCCATGGTGCGGAAAATTTAAATTAATATTATTT